TCGCGATCAAATGAATTTTTCTTCAAGAAAAATCGTAATACGATGGAAGCAGAATTTCTCAGAATCTCAACCCATTAACTGTCAAATTTTTATTTAATATTTTATTTAATATAATCCTATTGCAAGTGATAAAAAAAAAAAGTATACATATTCAAATCCCCATTTGGGGATCGTGGTAGCAAATGGGTGAATTTTGACGATATTAATATTTAAAGTGATTTAGAAACAAAATTTTTAATTTTTTATTATTATACGTTATAAGATTTAGTATATACTGGGAAATATGAATAATAGATAAATATCAATTGAAAGTTTCCCTCGTAATTAGGGGTGATTCTGGAACTTTAATGATTTGATAATAAATGAATAAATATTAAAGTGTTAATTTAACGATGTCCGTTCGAGCCTCTTTCCTGTTAATCGCCACCTTATACCTCGTAAAGCTTAATACCACGTTATTTAATCAAAAAGACAGGGATTTCTGCAACGAATATTATAGCGAACAACGTTTCTGCTGTTTCAACGCAGAGCAATGGAAAAACAGGAACGTAACATTCATCAGAGCTTTCATGAATATGTTCTTTATAACGTGAAAATATATCGCTCGTGTTTCCAAGGAGAGCGGATCGTTATTACGATTTTTCATTCAACAATTTCCGTGGAATCTTCTTGGAAGTGTTTAGAGAACACTGTTTCTATTAACGATAACGAATAGCAGTCGGTTCGATCGTTGCTGTCGTTTTATTGATAAGCCGAGGAGCGTTCTTTGTTTTCTATTTGCGATCCAGATTATCCAACAGGGGTTCGTATTTTTTAAAGTCTCTCCGATCTTTTGTTTAGCTCGGTAATGACGCGTTTACGAATAATAAGCAGATATGACCGAGCCGTTGATATATTCTGGTGGACAGAAGCTTTGTTGAATCACAATGATTGCTATTTTATCTTTCTACGTGACATTCTGCGTTACCTTTTACCGAAGAAAATTTCTTTTCCTTATTTCTTGGATATGTTAATTCTTTGTAGGAATGTAGGAAATGGTTGAGGAAATGGTAATGATGATCACTTGTTATTTATAGAGGTAGATTATTAACATATATCAAATTAAAATTAAAATTAAATTTTTGTTATGAAATTAAAATTAAATTTTTATTATAAAATTAAAATTAGATTTTTCTTATAAAATTGAACAAAACATTAGATAATATAGTAGGAAGTTTTCAATTTTTCAATTTGAATCCTCGAGTAGGTGTCTGAAAAGTTTGATACGTTTCCAAGTTTCTAGAGCGTAGAAACGATTCCGTGTTATTAATTCCATGCGCAGAGAGCATCAAAATGCTTTTTCCAGACTCCTTTCTCACATAAATACACGCGTTGTGCGTACACGCGTCCTTTGCCGGTTCGGTTCCCACGCTTAGCTCCTTATTACGCCTGTATTTATAATTAATCCTTCCTTCATCAGAGGTTCCAGACCTCTGAGTATACCCGATAAAACGCTGACGAAACGTATTCCCCCTAATGACTCGGTCTTTTTTTTCATATGAAAAGTCCGATGATTAATCCAGGCGACGATTTCAATATCGGCGTGAGTACTGTTTTAATTATGATAAACATATCTTTTCTATATCCACATATGTTTTCTTTATTAAAGTGCTCCAAAAAGAATGGTATAATAATTTTTCTCGAGCAAATTTTTTGATACTCAATTTTTATTTATTTTTAGTAACAGATTCAGGAAGTTATTTTTAACATTTAAAAAATTGGTGGGAAAAAATGCGATGGGAAGTGCAATGCAGTGTATTCTTCGGCTCGAATACCAAGAATATCGTTTTGCACGGTAGCCCTGACGAATACCAAATGCTACATTCGCAGGAAATATATACAGGATGATTCATATAAAGGAATCGGTACTTTCAAATTTGGACATAATTGGTTAATTAAAATTTTCAAATTTCGACTCATTATTCTGTAATATATTTAATGAAATTGAATTTCAAGATAATACGTACCTCCAAAAAATGTAATTATACATATGTTATAGGTTATCAAAATTTTTTTTTAAACTGACTGTAACTCTCTCAGATAAATAGTACTTTATCTTGTTAAGAAAAATGAAAAGAAATTGACTTTGAACTGTCACCAATTTACATAATAAAATATTGTTCTTCGAGTGAAATATTCTTTAAGCAAGCACTTCTTCTATATAAGAAACGCCCTGTACATATTGAATCGACGAACCCAGATATTCTTATCCTGCATTTGCAAGAACCTTCAAAATCAACATAGCTTTCCGGTCTGCTTTAGGGTGTACCCATGAGTTTTCGCAGAACTTGTACCCTAAACAATTTCACGATTAAAAGAAACAATTCTTAGATAGTGTTGGAGCAAAATTCAATGCAGTTCATTGTATTTCCCAAAATTATAATAAAATATTATATTGGGTGGAAATTAAATTTGTGACCCTCACATTATTTCCAAATTAAAATTTGGAGAATTAGAACCTGGGAAATTAAAATTTGCAGTGAGCTCTAAATCACAGGTCACAAAATGGTCATTTTAGAAAATTTTACTTTCAGTGAATGGCATTGGCCTTTTCAACTCATTTTTCCTTGTATTTCGAATGTAGGTATTTGAAGCGATAGCTTGGACCATTAGCTTGGCCATTTGTCCGAGACTTTCGCGTTCAGCTTGATAAGCACCCGGCCATGAATGTCCCTTAATGTGCCTTATGGGTAAATAAGGTATCTCTTCTGAAATTGATGAGTCAGAGAACGGATATATCTTCTTACCAGCAGGGTTTAGGTCCCTGCTAACTAATTTCCTTCGAGTTACCGATGCACCAGAGTAGCCAGTGTCGAGTGACAGTGCCGTTCTTCAATCACGTCGATCATGGTTTTATATTTCGTTCATAGCTTTGTTAATTGAAATATGAGCTCACAAGGTCGATCGAAATCGTGTGCTTGTAATTAAACGTTTTAATTATCTGTGCACTCGAGTAGTGTTAAAATTTTAATCTTTCAAAAAGCAAAGTCACGGACTGTTCGAAATATCTTCTCGAAAAAAGAGGAACCAGGTTTGTCGCGTTCACGAGAGACGAAAATATCTTTCAGTGAAAATATGCCTGTCTGGAATGTCCGCAAAACCGTTAATCCTTTCAGGCTGCGAACGGTTCTCAATGTAAATTCCAACGTGGCGGAGCTTTGCTTTTAATTAATACGAGAATCGTTGAACAATGGGGGGAACAAAAAATTCGCGTGTGTTGGTAGCAACCACTTCGAAGAAGCCAGAGAGTGAATATCTATCCAAGACGGTCTATATCCTGGGAACTTCCTTGTTGAACCTCGTCATCCGGTGGTTTTACCATTTCCTCGTGATAATTATCGAAGCTGCCAATGTCGTAATGGGAAACTCTTGCCAGGAACGTTTTCGAATTTATTCGATGGAAAATCGAGGACAATTTTCTTCGTTTCATATTTGAATTCATAAGGAACGGACCGGAGCCCGTATAATTATGCAAGCAGAGAGATATGGTTTACATTTACTTAATGAAATGATGGACACGTACGAAAGAGAGAGAGAGGCTCTGCCAGCTGAGTCAACAGTATATAGAGTTATGTGTACATATGTGATGTTTTGGTTCCTTGTTGCTTTTCGAGTGTGGAGGGAGCAGGGGATTACTTCTGAAAGGAATGTCAGTGTCATTGCCTGAATGCGAGAGTACAATGATACCTTTCAAAGGAGGCAATTCATCATTCTGCTACGTTTTTTGGGGGGCTTAGTGGATATAGCAAGGCGTGCAGAATTTGGGACTTGCGAGTTGGAACTTAGAAAGTTTAGGACTTGGGACTTGGGATTTAGGAACTTGGGATTTGGGAACTTGGGATTTGGAAACTTGAGAGCTTGGGAACTTAGGAGCTTGGGAACTTGGCATTTGGGAACTTGGGAGCTTAGGAACTTGGAATTTGGGAATTTGGGAACTTGGGATTTGGGAACTTGGGATTCTGGAACTTGGGATTTGGAAACTTGAGAGCTTGGGAACTTAGGAGCTTGGGAACTTGGAATTTGGGAACTTGGGAGCTTAGGAACTTGGGATTTGGGAACTTGGGAGCTTGGGAACTTGGGAACTTGGGATTTGGGAACTTGGAGCTTGAGAACTTGGAATTTGGGAACTTGGCAGCTTGGGAACTTGGAAGCTTGGGAACTTGGGACTTGGGAGCTTGGGGCTTGGGAGCTTAGGACTCTAGAACTTGAGACTTAGGAGTTTAGGACTTGGGAGTTTGGAACTTAGAACTTAGAAATTAGGAGCCAAAAATTAGAGCTTAGGTCCTGGAATCTAGAAGAACTTTAGAATTCAAACGCAGTCCTCCAATACAGCAATACTACTTCTTGTCAATTGAAACTCTCAGAAGCAATCTCTCCAACTCCACTGTCCACCTATCTAGATTGCAAAGGGAATAAAATTCAGAATGGTATTGATAACTGTTCAAGCTGGGAAACATTAAATGACCACAGGAAACGAGATCCATCTAGTTGTATCAATGTCTGTGATCGGTAACGATTATCATATCACTTCTGCGCAACACTGTATTCCTTTCTCTGAATTCAAGACGTATCTTATAACTTTTGATACGTCTTATCGTACACGACATTCATGGAACGACAAATTTCATCTGATAATTCGATAACGAATTATTTATCAACAACCACCAGCGATCTCACGATGTTTATCTAATATGAAAAAGGTATCTTTTCCTTAAAAGGCGAAACATCTGAAGAATTTCTGCCAGTCGGTACGTGTTGTTGGTTCGCGACAGTTTTTGTCGTAAATGAAAAATGTTTCCTTGTTAAAATGCAAGTCGTTCCGCTACGACTTGCCGGGAAACGGAGATTGATAGTGGTAAAAATAGACTTGAATTATAAAAACGAGTGACGAGTGTATCTTGAATCTTCTGGGTCAGCGTAGGCAACATGAATCATGCAGAGAATCATTGTTGAGAGTACTTGACATATCGTCGTCACCATACTGACTCATTTATTTTAATTTTTACGATCGATCCGGGGGCTTGGCCTCTAAACGTTTGGCGTGTCACAAATTTGGAAATTAGGGTTTAGAATTAGAACTTGGGATCTTCGAATTTAGGAACTTGCCACTTGGGAAATTGCATCTTGGGAAACTTGCGACTTGGAAAATTGCGACTTGGAAAATTGCAACTTGGGAACTTGCAACTTGGGAAATTGCATCTTGGGAAATAGCAAGTTGGAAACTTGCGACTTGGGAAATTGCAACTTGGGATCTTGCAACCTGGGAAATTGCATCTTGAGAAATTGCAACTTGGGAACTTATAGCTTAAGAACTTAACTCCTCCACATTCGTCATATTCACATCACTCAGAAAACAATTTCAACACAATTTCCACTTCAAGGGGTTAAATTACCTACGGGACAGGTTCGTAATCCTCGACGAAACTATGATCCAATGTAGCTGTCTTTTTGCGCAAAACGCCTCGTTAATTGCTGACGTATAATTAAGTAACCGGTCGACGTATGAAAGGTAGCTCTTCTAGCTCGTTTGAATAGACGGTCGGGAGGTGAAATTAAATCGTTAAACGCAATTGTGCAGTTGTGAATGAATGCTGGAGAGCCGGTTACGTTTAGAGGCGTATGAACGTATATGGAGGTACCCTGGGCGCATCCAGCGATGAAATAAAATCGGAGGTGATCGCACTTGGAAGAATGCGAGCTTGACTCACCGTCACTGGTCTTGCTTGAACAAGATGAGGGTTTACTGGACCGCACGTGGCCACGTGTTATAGTCCAGTGAAGGGATAAAAGCAAAAGGTGTTCCTTTCTTTCTTACGTGTATTCAGGTTTTTCGTTTAACCCTTTGCAGCTGAGAGCTGACTCATACTCGTTACTTACTTTAACTTTTATTCAGAAAAAAGAGTCATTTTAAAGCTCGGAGTCTTAAACTCTGACTTTTAAGTTCAGAGTTCCCAAGTTCCCAAGTTCAATTTGCAAGCTCCTAAGTTCTAAGGTCCCAAATTCTAAAGTTCTAATTTCCAAGTTCCTAAGTTCTAAGGTCCCAAATTCTAAAGTTCTAATTTCCAAGCTCCTAAGTCCTAAGGTCCTAAATTCTAAAGGCATAATTTCCAAGCTCTTCAGTCCTAAGGTCCCAAGTTCTAAAGTCCTAATTTCCAAGCTTCTAAGTCCTAAGGTCCCAAATTCTAAAGTTCTAATTTCCAAGCTCCTAAGTCCTAAGGTCCCAAATTCTAAAGTTCTAATTTCCAAGTTCCTAAGTTCTAAGGTCCCAAGTTCTAAAGTCCTAATTTCCAAGCTCTTAATTCCTAAGGTCCCAAATTTTAAAGCCCTAATTTCCCAGCTCCTAAGTCCTAAGGTCCCAAATTCTAAAGTTCTAATTTCCAAGTTCCTAAGTTCTAAGGTCCCAAATTCTAAAGTTCTAATTTCCAAGTTCCTAAGTTCTAAGGTCCCAAGTTCTAAAGTCCCAATTTCCAAGTTTCTAAGTTTAAAGATCCTAAGTCCAAAGGTCCAAAATTTACACCTTAATTATTGGCGCCATCTTCATATGCAAATCACTAGTTTCAACATCAGAATAACTCTACTTTCCGCTTGCAACGGGCATACAAATAGAGATTGACGAGGGGAATTAGCTAACAGGCCAATTTTCGCTAACACGACGGACAATGTTTGCGTTTACAGAGACCGAGACCGAATGGCCTAAGTAAATTGAACGTTACAAAGTTTCGTCCCGTTTCTCGTGAGGCCAGAAAACTAGTTCTGTAACAAGCGAGCACGAGTCGTAATAACCGCGAGGGTTCAAGGTGTTCTACTTTCGAATTGTATGAATTACATGTTGACTGGTGTAACCAAAATTGGAGTACAATGTACAGTTAGGTGAATTAGCTCATCGATTAAAAATTAACTACCTATCTAGAAGACTGACGATTGGCATTCCATGTGAACATCCGCGATACGACAGAAACGGTGGCAATTAATTATACCGGTAATTGATCCGTATCGTTCACCTTGATCGCGACCGGACTTCACTTTCGCCCTCGTTGTAAATCAAATCACGCGTGAATCCAGTGACGTGTAACACGATAGAGGGAAAAGTTGATGATCTTACCGGACTATAGGAACGATTAATTGCTAGCCAATCATCGAATGATGCGATGTTAAATGGGTAGAAGGAATCTATCGTTGGTGCCGAGTTGTTGGATAACTTGGAAAACTTGTCTTCAGGATTGATTCATTAGAATTGCAGTATGGTGCATTGCTGATTGCATCAGATAATCAACGATGTAGGTCGATTAAAATTCGTGACATTGTTTTTCACTGTAGCCACATGGCTATGTATTTTAATTAGGACATTTTAGAAGTATAGTTTGTCAAATGACTGTGTTCAAGAATGAAAAAGAAATAGAAAAAGATTAAATTGTTATATAACAAAGAACGTGCATACATGAAACGTTCTTAGACTTGGTCTTTTCGATAACAAAACGCAAAGTTCTTTATTTTAACTTGTAAAACAGTAGAACAATATCCGTGACAAAAATGGAAAAACTGCGGAAATCGTTGGCTATTCACCGCGTTAGAATTTAATGAGCAGAACGAGAATAATTAAAATAGTTATGCAAATCTGGTTATGCAATTGTAGAAAATTTTCAGTACTTTCGCTTGGTAGGTGCAGTTTATGGTTAAAATATAAGTAAGAATTAGAGTAAATGATGGGGTGAAGTATCGAAGTGATTTACAAACGCGTGTGCTTCAGCTGCGAACGATTCGCTCGAAGCTGTTCAATTATCGCCACTTGAGCTAACTCCGATGCGACTAGTGAACTTTTTACTCTCTCTTCGTGGCGCCCGTTTAAAGGGATCGTCGCCGAGGTTTCAGCAGCGTGTAAAACACGCTCGTTATTTCTTCGACGTGACAATTCCATAAATCAATCCCCTCTGTTAATCTTTTTCGCACAGCTTCTTATGGGGCGATAAAATTTTCATTAGAAGGGCATGGGACATAAGGTACAGGGCATAGGAGCTAAAGCATAGGGTGTAAGATATGGGGCATAGGGCATAGGACCTAAGGCATAGGGTGTAAGATATGGGGCAAAGGGCATAGGACCTAAGGCACAGGGTGTAAGATATAGGGCATAGGGTGTAAGATATGGGGCAAAGGGCATAGGATCTAAGGCACAGGGTGTAAGATATAGGGCATAGGGTGTAAGATATGGGGCATAGGGCATAGGGTGTCAAGTATGGGGCGTAAGACCTAAGGCATAGGGTGTAAGATATGGGGCATAGGGCATAGGGCATAGGGTGTCAAGTATGGGGCATAGGGTGTCAAGTATGGGGCATAGGACCTAAGGCATAGGATGTAAGATATGGGGCAAAGGGCATAGGACCTAAGGCATAGGGTGTCAAATATGGGGCATAGGACCTAAGTCATAGGGTGTAAGATATGAAGCATGGGGCATAGGGCATACGACCCATAACATAGGATATAAGATATGGGGTATAGGGCATAGGGCATAAGGTGTAGGGTGGGGCATGGGACATAAGTTATAGGGCATAGGATTCTAATGCATTCCAAAGTTATTGAATTCAATTGCCAGTTTTGCGTCACAGACCTTCTGCCTGTTTTGCCCGATTGTCCACTTGAAGAATTATTGTCCTCGGTTTAATTTATCCCTCGTTCCGCGTAGCTACGCGGATCTCGATATTTACGATCGTTTTTATACGATACCGTGAGATTCCCAGGAGAAATAAATCGTGCATCATCCGAAGATGGAACGTGGAAACGCATACGTGTTGCGGTTTATCGCGAGCTAGTCACGGAGACCCATGGAAAATTGATATTGACCATCGTGGAACCCGAGAGAAAATACTCGGGATTCATTGAGACTGATGCACACGAGCTTTGCATTCAGAGCACATCCGATCTGATATAGTGAAATGTGGAAATGTTTCCAATGTGACAAATTATTGCAATCCAACATTCAGAGAATTCGATAAAGAAGACTAGAAAATCCATTGACATAATATTATAGAACACTTTTAGGACTTCTACAACTCGGTACACTTTGAATCCGATAAATAAAACATTGAACTCTATCAATCTGATAAAACTAATTCCACTGGTATCAAAGTCTGAAATATCATAAAACTTCAAAAAATTCAACAAATTTCATAGATTTTCTGACTGTATGAAACTTTCAAATCGTTTTTATTAGATCCAACTAGTTCAGGGTCACTTGTATTGAATCTACTATCTTATGTATCAGGGTTATATTCATTGTATTTATTTGGGGGTTTCTTTTATCAAATCCTTATTCTACCATTTTTTGGTAACTTGTTTTACGAGTTAAGATTCTTAGGTCTAACGAGTTTTGTATTTTCCTCTATTATGTCTAACAGGTTTGGGAGCACCTGTGTTCTCTTCTGACTCCTATTCTTCGGTGTTACATATCCTGGGTCTGGAAATACCTGAAATTTAGAGGTCCACAGACCTCTTACCTTTCTAATATATTCGTAGAATTCCATTTTTATTTCGTGTAATTAAAGAGACAAACCTATTGATTTTAAGAAAAATAATTTTAAATATACAAAAGTGAGAAAAGAATTTATGATAAATGAAAAATCTACAAGAGTAGATAAGGAAAATAGAAATAAGAATTGAAAAGGAATTTTACAATTTAATGTATGCACTTATTTTTTCCGCAATAAACGTTGCTAATCGCTAACCTTCGCCTGCATTCTAATTAAGTCTAATTGCATTTTATCATCGGGCTCTCGAAGCGATAAGAGGCTCTAGCCGGTACGTAGGAATTTTCAAACGTTTCGAAAATTCTAGCAAACGTATCATAAATTGAATTACCGATCTCTCCGATGACTAATCAGCTTTCGACATGACGTGTTTCGTAATTAGTAGGTGTGTCTAGCAAATAACCATCGCCTTTTTTTAAACCCTCCTTACAATACTCTTCAAACAGTATACACTTAGGTCGAGCAATTGAAATTGGTATCTCGATTCAAGAGGTTCTTGTAAAAGAACGGAGCACGTCATAGGTATTCACGTAGGTGGAATCCGAACGTGATGTGGGCAAATTGTTTCTGTAGCTACCTTGGGATCAAGGAAACGCCTTGATACACCTTTCAGAATATCCTCAGTATTGAAGAGAAAAATTTCCATAAATAAAATGTAAATAGGACATTGCATGAATATTTAAAAAATTTCGAAATTTTTCAAAATAATAAAATTAGAGATTGCAAAGGGTGCAGAGGAGGTATCGGATAACAGGGCATTGCACTGACACGAATAATTAAAAAATTTAAAAATTTTTCAAAATAATAAAGTTAGAGATTGCAAAGGGTGCAGAGAAGGTATCGGATAACAGGGCATTGCACTGACACGAATAATTAAAAAATTTAAAAATTTTTCAAAATAATAAAATTAGAGATTGCTAAAGGTGCAGAGAAGGTATCGGATAACAGGGCATTGCACTGACACGAATAATTAAAAAATTAAATAATTTTTCAAAATAATAAAATTAGAGATTGCTAAGGGTGCAGAGAAGGTATCGAATAACAGGGCATTGCACTGACACGAATAATTAAAAAATTACAAAATTTTTCAAAATAATAAAATTAGAGATTGCAAAGGGTGCAGAGAAGATATCGGATAACAGGACATTGCACTGACACGAATAATTAAAAAATTTCGAAATTTTTCAAAATAATAAAATTAGAGATTGCTAAAGGTGCAGAGAAGGTATCGAATAACAGGGCATTGCACTGACACGAATAATTAAAAAATTACAAAATTTTTCAAAATAATAAAATTAGAGATTGCAAAGGGTGCAGAGAAGATATCGGATAACAGGACATTGCACTGACACGAATAATTAAAAAATTTAAAAATTTTTCAAAATAATAAAGTTAGAGATTGCAAAGGGTGCAGAGAAGGTATCGGATATCCTTCAGAGGCTTCGGCACGTTCATGGAGGATAGAACCCAGGAATAGGACACCCTGTAGAAAAGCGGGTGCTCTGTTGGGGTCAAACTTCTCTCTCGTTCCCTTGTATCCCGAGAACTGGTTTCACCGGCGTTCTGTTGCCCGTCTCCGACCCCACATCCCCTCTGGATGTTCCCTCCCTCGGAAATCACGATTGAATTACCACCAGGGAAAAGCAGTTGTTTGTACTCGCTGCGTTAATAGACAATCTTGACTTAGACATAGAAAACTAACGGCCACCATGAAACTGCTAACGATATTGGCCTTAATGCGACAATAACCGGTGACATTTCTTAATTCAACAAACGATCCAGTCGATGGTTCATTGAATTCCATCTAACTGGAATTGATGATTTGAAATTTTGTGTTTATTTCGTGGAGCTGATTATCATTTTTGGTGTCTTTCTTGGAAAAATTTCAACCACTTTTCTTATTAGTTTAATGATAGAAGATTATTGTGTGCAGAGTGGAAAACGAGACTGTTATTGATACTTGCCATGTTAGAATGGTAGGTGGAGAGGTACGTTTACGTTTGACCCGGTTACAAATTACCCACGATCGAAGTACTGCATTTTGCTGGGTCAACGCGCTCCGCTTGATTTCCAGCGCAATGCTGATATTAAGTCATTCTGACGTATAGTTAGTGTGGTTAAAAAATCAGTCAATTGTCAAAGTATTTATAAATATTTTTCTAAAATAAGTACACATTTGGTTATTGATATTATTAATCGTTGATAAACATTCAACGAAAGGGTTAATATACATTGATCGATTGACATGTTTGAAAAGCTTTGACGAATGTTCGTTTATCGTTCAGTCGTGTGCCCGTTTGTTCGCAAGATTAAAAACCTTTCTGCAAATCAGCTTTCGTTCCAGATACGCTATGGCTTTGGACAAAGTATAATTAGTGACGCGTATAATCGCGCCACTTAAAAAGCTCGATCAATAAGCGAACGATGTACAATAAAAACTTAAGATTCCTTGTAATCTTCTTGTTACACTTAACGTTTCTTAAGCTCGTGAGATTTAATCGTTTTATCTTTCCTTTTGAGTTATCTAAAGATGTTATCAAACAATACTCCATTAAGGATTAAGAATAATTCTGCTTCACTTTGTATAGCAAAATTTTATAACAATCACATTTCTAATAAATTAATTTAAGATATAAGTTAAAGAAATAAATTTATTAAAAAAACAAACTTAAAAAGAGAAAAAAAAAAGAATTTGGAAAGCGGGATTTGAACTGACGACCTTTAGATTTGTGGTCTTATCCGTTTGTATGTGTGGACCTGTTATACTCTAGTGTGTAAGGAGGAATTAATTGCTAATATATTTTTTAAACTTATTATTAATTGTTTACTTTCAAAAATAGGGTATAGACGTGTTTAACTTAGCGGATGCTATAAAATGTCAAAATTTCATTAATAAGTGACGCAAGGGGTGTTTCAAATAATTTTAAAAAAATCAATCATGCTAGATATTACATCACGTCGTCGATAAGGTATCGCGAACCTATCGCGTGAACTTCTTTCCACGTTTTATCGAATATTCGATAACAATGATAACGTAGCTCTCTAAGTCAGGTTTAGTCTCGCGCTGTATTGTCCACCGTCCTCTTCATTGATCTCGTTTGAACAGTTTCTTCTCATTCTATTTCCGCCATGGAGATGCTGGAGATGAAAAAGTGGGATGTGATCGAGGAATTCGCTAGGGATTTTTCATATTTCGCCAGTATCGTAAGTACTTTGTCATTTACAAGCCATTCTTGGTTAGCCTTTTTACGTAAGCCATTAGATAAGATTTAATAAACGAACAAATTGATCGTAGAATTATTTTACACACCAAAGTCACGGGCAATTTAATTATAAATTAAATTCTAATTAATTAAGGGGATTAACTCGGATTTCTATCACAATATCATCTATAATTATAGTTTTCTTTAGGTTGTAAAATGAAAGTTATTTAGTGACTCACTGGTTTATCGCTTCAGAACAATTTTATCAACTCGGGTTCTGTCAGATTAGGGCATTTATTTACTTCCTTTTTAAGTCATGGTATTTAGCACAATTTACTTTTAAATTGAAAATAAATAAATAAAGCATGATTCGTGATTCACGAGACACCTTAATCATTTCTCTAATTTAAAATAAGAAAAAAGTAAATAACTATATCATCAATGATAATTGGTAGGAATTGTTCAATGAAAAAAAAAAGAATGCTAATTAGTCGTAACACGGTTTCACGAGAAGCGGCATAAAGAAGCGTCGATTAACCCTGATGCTATTTTCCGAGAAATCTTTAGAGAGTACATATATGACTAGTTCCGACATCGACGCTATTGTTCGTCGTGGAAAATTGCAGCGACTACGATCGCGACTGCATTCTTGAAAAGCGGCTGACTTTTATTGCAGACAACCTAGATATCGTTCGTTGAAAGAAACGCGCGTCGCTCGCGATAAAAGCTTCCTTCCATTCACACGTGCGACGTACACTCGCGATTAAGCGCCGCGCGTTAAAGAGAATATGTCAAACGATTTCCTTTTTTTTTTTTTTGATACTCGATGAGGCTTTTCCAGCTTTCTTATCGTCCGACGTTTTCATGAAAATGAGACTGGAAATAATGGATGTTGTTCATGGTTGATTAAAATGTGTGGATGACGTTGGGAACGTTGCTTTTGTGGATAGATGATCGTTTGATGTTTGAACGTTTGAGAGAAAAGACGCTTGTTTTTGACGTAGATGGGTAAAGTAGGGGATGAGTTAATGGGAGACCATGGATCCTTTTTCCTTTCTGTAAAATTCTGAAATTGAGAAATGCGGAGGCGCTGAAGCGTTGAGACTGCAAAATGTGGAAATTGCAAACTCGAGATTGCAAAATTTCGTAATCGCTAATTCCTGATATTGCAAGATTCAAAGATTACATGCTTCCGAGATAGGAAAATTAAAAAATTGCGAAATTTCAAATTGCGAAGTTGCAAATCTACAAAATAGCAAGCTTCCAAAATTGCAAAAGTCCAAAATTGCAAGCTCCTAAAATCGCAAAATTCCAAATTCATCATCTTTCAAAATTGCCAGCTCTCAAAATTGCAAAATTCCAAAATCTCTAATTTCCAAAGTCGCCAGCTCTCAAGATCGCAAAATTCCAAATTCTCCAACTCCCAAAATTGCAAGCTCCTAAAATCGCAATATTCCAAATTCATCATCTTTCAAAATCGCCAGCTCTCAAAATTGCAAAATTCCAAAATCTCTAATTTCCAAAGTCGCCAGCTCTCAAGATCGCAAAATTCCAAATTCTCCAACTTCCAAAATTGCAAGCTCCTAAAATCGCAATATTCCAAATTCATCATCTTTCAAAATCGCCAGCTCTCAAAATTGCAAAATTCCAAAATCTCTAATTTCCAAAGTCGCCATCTCTCAAGATCGCAAAATTCCAAATTCTCCAACTTCCAAAATCGCCAGCTTTGAAAATCGTAAAATTCCAAATCCTCCAACTACCAAAATCGCCAGCTCTCAAGATTGCAAAAATTCCGAAATCTCCAACTTCCAAAGTCACCAGCTCTCAAGATCGCAAAGTTCCGAATCCACAATCCAAGATCGAAAGCTCTAAAACCGCAAGCTCCTGAATCCAAGACTTCAAGAATCCACACTCCAGAAGATCCATCGAAGATTCACCTGCCTAACTCAAAACGCCTAACACGTAACACAAGCTTCAACTCATCGCTCCAAATCCTAAGACGCTTAAACGAAACTCCTGCATGGCGCAAACAACAGAAACCATTCCGGATCGCTCATTCTCCTATCACCACAGAAGGAACACTGAGTCTGAAGGGAACCTTGTTTCTGTTAGATCGACGAAAACGGAGACGGCTTCATCAATCTGACCGAGTTACGAAGCGCTCTGGACATCTGTGGCTTCAAGATGCCCGGTTACAAAGTTCGCCAGATGATCGAGGAATACGACGATAAACAGAGATCAGAGCACAAAGGACGTCTTTCCTTCGAAGAATTCGAGAAATTGTGCAAAAAGTTAAAGGCCAATGAACTCGGCTCCACGTTCAAACAAGTGGTGTCGAAGAAGGAGAATCTGGAGACGTTGGGTGGTATCTCGGAGGCGTCCAGTGAAGGAACCACCCACTCGGTCAGATTAGAGGAGCAACTTGCCTTCAGTGATTGGATCAACACAAATCTGTCGCATGATCCTGATTTGAAACACCTGCTGCCCATTGATGCTGAAGGGAAGACCCTGTACGAGAAGGTCAAGGATGGAATTCTTCTCTGGTATGTATACTGTTATGGATAATTTAAATTTTCATGTGGGTAATTGGATACTTGGGTACCTTAATAATTATCTCTTTCATTTAAAAAAAAATTTTCATATTAACATAGAAATAGGTACTTGGGTATTCCATTGCTCGCTCAGTTTATTTATTAATAACAATGAAATTCCCCTGTCCATTTCAGCAAGATAATTAATCATTCCTGCCCCGACACCATCGACGAGCGTACCATCAACAAGAAGAACCTGACATTGTACAAGAAGCACGAGAATCTGACCCTAGCTCTATCATCAGCCCAAGCAATCGGCTGTAACATCGTCAACATCGACGCCCACGATCTCATCAAAGGTTCACCTCACCTGGTCCTGGGTCTCCTCTGGCAAATTATCAGGATCGGTCTGTTCAATCAAATCACCCTGGAGAACTGTCCTGGTCTGGCTACCTTGCTCCAAGACGGCGAACGTATCGAGGATCTATTAAAATTGTCCCCAGAATCGATTCTCCTCAGATGGGTGAACCATCACCTGGAGAACGCTGGTATCGCCAGAAGGTGCAAGAATTTCTACTCAGACATCACCGACTCGGCGATCTACACTTATCTTATCAAACAAATCGCACCACCCAATGCTGGTGTCACCCTGGAGGCTCTAATGGAACCCAACCACACCTCGCGAGCAGAGATCATGCTGCAACAGGCAGCCAAATTAGGTTGCCGCAGTTTCGTAACCCCGAGCGACGTGGTCCATGGTATCTACAAATTGAATTTGGCCTTCGTGGCGAACCTGTTCAATAATTACCCGGGTCTAGACAAGCCGGAGAGCAATATAGAAGGATTGGAATCGTTGGAGGAGACTAGAGAAGAGAAAACATATAGAAATTGGATGAACTCCATGGGAGTGGTTCCCTATGTAAATTGGTTGTACTCCGATTTAACCGATGGTCTGGTGATCTTCCAGTTGTACGACATCATTAAACCAGGAACGGTTAACTGGAACAGGGTACACCAGTACTTCAGCAAGTTAAGGAAGTTCATGGAGAAGTTGGAGAATTGTAATTACGCTGTCGAGCTAGGGAAAACGATGAACTTCTCGTTGGTTGGGATCGCCGGGCAGGATATAAACGATGGAAACGCAACGTTGACCCTCGCATTGATCTGGCAGCTGATGAGGTCGTACACGTTGTCTCTGTTGACGTCGCTGGCTGGTACTCAGGGTAGTACCATGGTGGAGAAGGAGGTTGTTCAGTGGGTGAACTCGAAATTACAGGGGGCTGGGAAGACTAGTAGTATCAAAGGTTTCCAAGATTCCTCGATAGCCGATGGGAAAGTGGTTATCGATCTGATCGATGCCATCAAACCGGGATCTGTGAACTATGATCTGGTTAAGGAGGGAGGCACCGGAGAGGTGATTGTTCAGATATTTCATTTTCAAGTCGTTCGATGGTTCCTTTGACTCTTTGGAGCTTGGTATAGGGAAACATGGGCTACCACACTTCTATTGTGTTCAAACTACATATATATATGTGTTAGGGTAAGGGTGACGTAAATATAAAGTGTCAACGTGCCAAGATATAGAAAATCGCGAAAACCGATCTTTTTCACCTTTTTGGGAATTCTCCTCAAGAAGATGGCGCTTAAACCATTTAAATTGAAAAACAAAGAAATCTAACCTAACCCTAACCTAACCTAACCATCGCGAAAAATGATAAGGGTGGGGTGAAAGATGAGCAGACGTTAGTGGGTGGAACTTCGAGTTAAGGGAGCAAAGGGAGCTACCCAACACTAGGAAATCTACCTTTCATTTCCTCACCTTCACGTGGTGCCGGCTGATTTCGCCGAGAAGGGGTAAAAAGAAAAGTAAGGTTAGGTTCGGTTTTTTCATTTTTTTTCCCAGCTAAAAAACTCGATATACCTCAACTTCGCACATTGGGACTTCATATTTTAGTTGGTTATACCCTAAACACTCTTTACCTACAGTTTGAATAAAATCCAAGTGTGGTATCATTTCTAATTCTTACCTTAAGCGGTTAGGCCACTCTAGAGCAAGAAAAAGTAGGCATATTTTAGGAATTTTTTTAAAAAGAATAATGGAATAAATCCAAATTCTATAAGCATGCCTTTATTTTAAGACTAATAAACTTTAAAAATTAATTTTGTATACTGATTCAAGTCAAAATATGGACTCTGCAGCATTTCTTCAATGACACCCTATTTTTAGTCATATCATTTTTAAGACATTAAGGCACCTTTTAAGCAAAAAGAAATTTCGATTTTCTCAAAATTCTAGAGTCGCCTAATTCCTTAAGAAATTTCATCGAATCAGAGATCCTTTATGAATATAAAATATTAGTGGAATTTGAAAGTTGAACGAAGAGGACGGTGTAATGGTCGGTTTGATTTCCATGTAAACGCCGGTGTCGCGTCGGCGTGACTAATTGTAGGTCGTCCTTTCTTTTCTGATCCTCAGGAGAACCTGGACAACGCGAAATACGCGATATCCTTGGCACGAAAATGTGGCGCGCGCGTTTACGCGCTACCGGAGGACATAACCGAGGTGAAACCTAAGATGGTGATGACGGTGTTCGCTTGTCTGATGGCGATGGACTACATCCCGAATATGGACTCGGTGAAGCAGCAGAACAACGTGAACAACAGTCAATAATGTCGCGCCATCGTCGTACGTTTACATTGTGCACGAGAACTGTCGACTGAGTTGCGGTTACAATTGGTAACCGTCTCTCTTTCACCAACCTAATAATTGTATATACAGCTAGGTTTAGGATAGCTTGTTCGTTTCCAGACGGAAACTAGAGAAGGGGAAGAAACGAATCTATTCGTCGAAACGGATCATGACTGACTCTAATTATTCTTCCGCGTTGCCCGCTTTGGTAGACGTATTACTACGTTCGAGCTGTTGCTTCATCTTTGTTACAGTATTGTCTCTCTAAGTGGTCCGCTCGTTTCTCTAAGTAGCTGTATCTCGTTTTTCTTTTCTATTCTCGTAATTGGCGAATTTTTCATTTTCCAGCTAGGAAAATTTCTGCTTTCCCAAGTGCTTGATTTCCACTTTTCTAATTGGAAACATTTCACTTTCCGCAAATGGCGAATTTATGTTTTTCTAATTTGCGAAATTCTAGTTTTCTAGGTAGGAAATTTTAGCTTCAGCAGGTGGCGAATTTTTATTTTTTTAATTTGCAAAATTTCAATATTTTAAGTAGGAAAATTTCAGCTTCTCAGGCAGAAAAATTGCAGCTTTTCCGATTGGAAAAATTTCAGCTTTCTAATTAGCAAAATTTTAGCATCCCTAAGTGGCAACCTCTAATTACTAAAATAGCAAAATCTTACCTTTCCTAACTAAAATATTCCACCCTTAATAAATAAAAAATTTCATCCATCCAATTAGCAAATTTCCTATTTCTATAGATGGAAAATTCCTGCTACTAAATTTCTGCTTTTCCAAGAGATCCCTCTTAGATTGGTAATACTGTTATTCCAAAGAAAAGTGAAAATTAGTGGAGAGCCCCGCGTAGACGATGCTAGCGAGCTTCGAGCGAGAGTCACGGGAAAAGGAAGTGGAAATTGATTGTAACGATCAGACAGAGCGTGTCTGTTGCAATTTTGCTCTTCTTGTCGATCGTTGTTTGTATCGTGTGATATTTTCCTTCCAAAAATAAAAAAAAAAAAAAATTTCTACGATCATATCCTCGTCACACTCTGCATTACCCGTGACCTTAGATTTTGTATAAATCAATTTTTTAATAATCGGTGTCAATCGAGAAAAGCCATAGCGAAATGAAAAATCATGTCTCGTTTAAAGTATCTGGATACTGAAAAAGGAGATCCTTTGATCGAATCAATTATACACTGGGTATAGTAATTAATACAAGAGAACGAAATTGTGGCTTTCAGATTGTCGATTATATATGTATACAATATGTATTAGATTAACATTCTTGAATCATATATACAATTTGATATATGTACACGTATTTGATACATACCGTAAGGGTGGAGTTGTCATAATTTTACAATGACGATGTCTTTGTCAATCAATCGATCAATTAATCAATTTCATCAGGAGAAATCTACTTATAGGAATTTTCAAAGCATATAATCGAAGGATTGCTTTGCTAAAGCTGTTTAGACGTTCGTTTTAACCCGTTAACTGAGATATTTAACGCCTTCATTTTTAATTAAAAAAAGAAATTAATGAAGATTCCAAAAAATTCTCAGTCAACGGGTTAAACATTTGTTAAAATTTCACAATCATTCCCGTCATTTTAAATCCATATTTGGGTACATTTTATCCCCTTCAACTCGACTTTTTTTATAAATAAAAATTTCATTAAAACAGGAATTATTTTAGATTCCAAGATGCTTATAATTTTGGATCTTAATTTTTCTAATTAAAAAAGCAATCAGTTATCAAAGATAAGAATTGATGATTGAATTTTATACAATTTTAAGAATCCAGTGTCGGGTGGAAGGGTTTAAATAATCAGATTTTACGATCAATTTTTCTACCAATCTTTCGTAATCATTTTTAATCGAACGTGTAACAATTAAAAATAAAAAGAGGATTAATAATTCCATGCACCGTCGATACGAAACAAACGCACAAGGATCATTGTAATCGTGCCATTATAAATCATTGATCGCAGGTTTATGCGATATTTAACGATCGACTCGAAACGGACCGTACTTACCTATTTAATGATGGCAAACAAACGTGTCGCAAAACGATGATTAATGCGAATATTGCGTACGAGATAACGTTGGTTCCTCTTGATCGTGCGCGTTTTTTTTTATGGGTGTTAGCGTGTTACCGGAAGTGTAAGTCATTCGAGGTGAATTTCTGATATCACGAGTTTACGTTGAAAGTCATTAACTCCTTTTGTTGTGAAAGATTCGAACGTGAAACTATTGGAGAAGGCAGAGTAGGGTGATAGAAAATAGCAAAGTTTATGGACCTTTCAAAATTTATAATTCTTTGAAGCTTGAGAAATAGTTAAGAATTTTCATTTCTTCAAACATAATATGAAATATTATTAAATATTTTTTTATAAGTCTCAAGAATCATAGAATTATGTATCATTACACTGTTAAATGTAGGATCATAAATTTGGCCATTTTTACCATCTTAAATTATCTGTTAACACTTTGACGGCCTATGCATTCAACTCTTCGCGTTATCATTATTTATACTACTTACATCAACAGCCCTAAGTAAATATAAAAATGGCCATAAAATGGTAAGAGTCATAAATCATGCTACTCATAGTCCTCAAAGTGTTAAAGTCTCATTCAAATGAAGATGAAAATATTGATTTAAAAATAAATATTAAAAGTGCAATCCATCGATACTTCGAGCATTCCTAGAGGAAAAAAATGGACACGTTTTCATCGAACATTTCTGAAGAACCAATTAATATCATTAATCATTCCACGGAAGGATAAACGTATTCTAAGTTGCATTTCCATGTCAAAATAAAGAAAATCACATTCCTCGTGTCCAGAATCGAATTCGAATGGTAAAATGGTACTCGAAAGCGTCGATTTAAAAGATAAAAGAAAAATGTTTCAAAGGGCCGTTTGCAATTTTGCGCACTTAGATTTAAGATTTAGTCACGAGAATAGAGTATGCTTTGTTTTGTAAAGCAGAGAGCAACATGAGAAAGAAAAATAGGATAAGCGCGTGAGGAAGATTACTATTACTAAGAGTATGATTCTTGTTTATTATTATTTTTTTTTAAATCGATTCGTCAATCAATTTGAACTTATACAATGATCATTAAAATAAAAAAAGAAGAAAAAGAAAAAAAATGCGTACGTTCAGATACACAGAATAATTCTGTGCCTGTGTAGGTCACCGTAGATATAATTTAATGTATCCGTAATTTAAATAAAAAGAAATTTATCTAAGAAATTATCTTCTACCTTTTACAGTTATGAGGATAATAATCGTGATCGAAATTTATAACAGTTCAGTTTATTGTACTGTGAATAGTTTATAGTTTCATCTATATTCATCTATTTTTCAATCCATCTGTAGCATCATAAATTCTTTCTTTCGAAAGATTTATTTCATTGGATAGAATTTGTCAACATCAGCATTAGCCATAATAGTCGTCTTTGAAGCATCAAAAAGTTCAGGCAATTCTCTTTTAGCAGCTCTAATGTCGCTTAGAGTTAAACCTACGTGTTGTGATATAACCACTAGATTATTCATTTTCTCAGATCCTATGGTGCCGTTTCTCGTTAAAGATGAATCAAATTGGTAATCGCTCACGTAGATTCGGCTGATCGAGTTTGCCTGTGAAAGAAATATAAAGAATCGTTTAGTAAAATGAACAAATTTCATCTAGATAAGAATTAGACCTAGACAACAATTTTCACCCAAGAATTTTCACTCAGACAAATATTTTCATCCAAGAATTTTCACCTAGAGAAAAATTTTCATCCAAGAATATTCACCTAGAGAAAAATTTTCATCCAAGAATATTCACCTAGAGAAAAATTTTCATCCAAGAATATTCACCTAGACAAAAATTTTCATCCAAGAATTTTTACCTAGTCAAAAAATTTTATCCAAGAATTTTTACCTAGTCAAAAAATTTTATCCAAGAATTTTTTCCTGCACAAAATTTTCACTTAGGAAAAATTTTCACCCAAAAGATAATTTTCAAAATTTCACAAAAGTCTCTCACCAAGTGTGACTGAAGATCAGACTCAACTACATTGTTCCCATAAGATCCAAAGTAAAACGAAGCATAAGAACTGCAATTATTCAAATTCGTCATCTTCTGAATAATTATAGCTTCACTTGGAACTTTGTTCAACTGTGGTAGAGACTCAAGTTCGTATCTAGGATTTTTTATCTTGTGCATCATCTTAGTCGAAGGATAATGATGAACTCCAACAGTGACACTGCACTGTCCAACCGTGGAATTTTCAAAAATTTCAAACACTCCATCTGGTATTCCATTCAAATCAACACCGATGCTTAAACGTTCAGCAATTAATTTGATATCATTCAAATTTCCTACTGGAATCTGATCGTTCACCAATAAATAATCGATACCGTATTCATTGAATTTTATATCGAATGGTTCTTCGCTATACAGGTGCTTCATTTCCTCTTCAGGTATATCCAGTTGATTATTATTTGTTACGTCTATGCTAAGTCGTTTAGCGTTTGCCAGGCGACAATTCAGTTTGTCGAATGACTTTGGTCTGCAGAACATATTCATCACGGTGTAATTAGATCTTTGTACCGCATCAGAGTGCATGGGGTTGGTCAGTTCCATGATGTTCATTTCTATATTGAATATGTATTCCGGACCATATTTCCATGCGGTTTCGTCGACCGCCACACGAGCGACTGTAAAGAAAATTTTCTCAATTAATGTTTCACTTTAATTCGTGAGGACAGTTTTCCAAATGACCGACTTATTGTCAAATTATTCAAAATAGTTTTCACCAAGGAAAAGATTTTTCGCACCCACAATTTTCATCTAGATAAAAATTTCCACCCAAGAATTTTCACCCCCACAATTTTCACTTAGATAACAATTTTCATCTAGATAAAAATTTTCACCCAAGAATTTTCACCCCCACAATTTTCACTTAGATAACAATTTTCACCTAGAAAAAAATTTTCACCCAAGAGTTTTCACTTAGAGGAAAATAAAATGGCACAAATGGCATAATATTCAATACTATTCTAAAGTTGTTTTGAACATTTTGATTGAAGCAGAATGCAAGGGAAGTTACGATGTTCGTACAATTGATAATTAGTTATATGTTATAAGCAGTTGCTGGCCCGATTTAGACGGATTGACGATAAAGGCGGTTAAATGGAAAATTGGCTTACCGACCTAAGAAGAACGGAATTAATGAGGCGAGCATGTCGTAGTCACTGTTCTCAACTGGTTTAACACTCTTCTTCAGCTCGGAGATCCTTTTATATCACCGATGGACTCTGACGACCTCGCCATGTAATTTAATTAAGTTGTCCCACCACCGTCCAACTTGTAATTATTATTCGAGATCGTAGGTCACTGAGGTTCTTTGAAAAATAGAGGACGATTCAGTGCACCTTGCACATTTTTTAACAATTGCATCCCCTAATTAAGACTTCTATTCATTAAAATTCTAGAAAAATAGAGTACACATTTATTAAAATTTATTTATCTTCATTGATAGTGATTTTTATTATTGATAAATTCATTTAATCATTGCTTTTGAGAAAATTATTTAAATATCTTGAATTATTTTATGTAAAAAATAATTAGGGAAAGGATGCAAGGTTTCCTGCACTACCGATTGTCGCTATATTCATCTCATCTGTGATAACAGGCTTATCAATGGAGATAAATTGTATAATTGAGATTCACTTTATCGATGAAAATTATTATTTTTAACTTCAATAATTATTTAACCTATTTGACCAATAAATAACATATGACACATATGGTGAGTCCTGATATGTACAATACATGACGCACAGGGTGCGTTGTCCATTAAATAACACACCAGAAATGTGATATATATATATATAAACTCTCAAATTTATAAAAATTAAAAATATAGACATTAGAAATTTACAATATTCGCTTTGAAAAATATTATTCAATCTAGTTTGAATTAAAAAATATTCCATACTTACATGATGCTCAGTTCAAAAGAACTCGAGCGAAGGACCTTCGTATTTAAAAAAAAAAAAAAAAAAACAAATTATTTGATCAACAATGACCCAGTGCGAAAATTAGTTTCCACTTGGACACTTCAACTACCATAATCTGTACCGTACGAGTGGTTCGTGTTGTCGAAGTGTTATTCTATTAAACTCGTTACTCACCTAATGTAAGAGGTCACCCTCGTCTTGCATGGATTATCATATTCTGCGAAGTTCCTCGAGTGTCCCAGGGTGCCTGGTTTCCGGAAGGTGTCTTCACCGGAAATCGATTTTATTTACGATAAAAATGGTTTCCAATATTTCAAAGCGATCGAAAGGCTCGATTCAATAATGGTCCTTCGAATGGTTTCGCACAAACGTTAGGTCCCTCGAAAGCGAACATTATCAGCTGCTTAATTTCTAGTGTGCGCGCAAGTTATGCGTGCACCGACTTCAAAGTGCAGCCGGGTGCATTTGGCAGTCGAATGCAACGGGTCTCAAGGCGCGAACCGGCCACGTTTAACGTTGTCGCCGATTTGGCAACCCTTTGATTCTGACATTCGTTGATTTCTGTTTGACTTTGATTTTAAAAAGGCAACTCATGAAACTGAAACAATGATTAAGGGTAATGAAATTATAAAAGAAACATCTACACACCTACTACATTTATTGAATATACTTTAGCTAATTACATTTATGACACTTATTACATTTTCTAGAATATAAGATTTTCTGAAATTTCAGAAAACCTCGAAATTGGTATTTAACATTGATTATTAAACATTAATATTATAATAAATACAGTTACCATTAAGTGATTAATGATACATATAGAGAATATTATTCACATTAATCACATAGATTATTATTTCTTTTTTAATAAATCTACATTTTCACAATTTTTATTCTCTCCATACATGCCTGAATTACCGAGGTAGACATCATTTACGATTTAATAGTCAGAAAAATAGTTTCTCTCTTGAGGTATTCGATACATTGTCGTACAGTTCCATAGTTTCTTAGCTTATCTTAATTACATTCGATAATTAACATATACGTTTCCATCACAGACTGATTCACGTTCCCAGAGAAACTTCTGTATATACAATATTCTTTAATTGCACATAAATCACATATATTTAACATTTATAGTTTCTTGTATTATCACATTCATACAAATGGTCGAAAAATTGTAATAGGTCACAAGTGTGTACTCTTAGAATAGGCACAATTTTAGGTACACATAGTTTCATTCATCGATAGTCATAGTACATGATTTATCGAAAATATAAGTTACATCATTTTCGTATATTTAGATTGTTACATGTAAATGACTTATAGGGAGTCTGTTTTACAATAATGTAAAACAATTTTCGACTTATAATTATTTCTTTTTCTATTCTACTACAGTAATGTCCATTAAACACGACAAAAATAGTTGTATCTATCTTTAAACATTTTAAATTCTAAAAATACCTTCCAGATAAATTTCATTCTTTTTCATCGCATAATTGAATAAATTTTTTATTTAGCATCGATTCGAACATCTACAAATATGAGCGTATTGTCCCTTTTTTTATCGATTGTTTTTGCAAATTTCCAATACAAATTTCCAATATTTTAGCAAATATCTCTGTACATCTATTTCCAAAAAGTCCATCCTTTGGGAAAATATGAATTCCTCAAATTAGCAAATATTTTGATATTACCATCGGATAACAGGAATCTAAGCATCTTCAAAATCAGCCGAAAATTGAACGAATTGCATATTTGAATCGGAATACTCTCGATCTGCATGTTCTTCAAAATATTAGTCAATTTAAATAATAATTCATAAAGATCCTCCGGTTTAATGTCATTCTCGTATACTAAATGAAATATACGTTTCGAGGTTTCTTGATCGAAAGATCCAATAATGATAGGTAATTGTAATTCAATAAACGGATTTTTTGTTAATTCGATTATTTTTTTATGTTCAAACTGACATTTTCGTTTGGTATTATTTTTATCATTAGACGAATAACGAAATATGTGAATCATATGATTTGGATAATCAAATACACCGTTCTCTAATGGAATAATATTATTAATCATAGTTCTCTTTTGTATTTTGTACAACTTGGAAAACATCAGGTAAAATAGAGCCGATGGTCTAGTTGAATCGAATAAATACCAGGTAATTACACTGCTATTATTATCAATTACATGAACGCAGCTCAAATAATCGTTTATTGTAACGAATGATTCAGTATTTGTTGGTAAATAATTGGGTATAATAGGTATGGATTCGATAAAATCGAACCAGTTGGAATTATCTGTCACATCTTTGGTTTTGCTAAATCTTTTCGGATACCAAAATAAATAACCAACGGTATCGTGAATTTCATTAAAATTTTTCCTAGAAAATCTTGATAATAATTGTAAATCGAAATCGAGGAGTACTTCGTTCGGTGAACTTAGAATATTTACAATGCACTGTTTCAAAGAAATAGAGCCCATTTTCAAATCGTTTGCAAAACGTTTCATAAATCTGTTGAAAAATTCGGTTTGCAATTCTGGGTCCAGTCATGGTTCGGGATCGTTCGATTGATCGAACGCTTCATAACCGGTCTTCTCGTGAGACATTATGTGATAACTGTTATTCATTATCGATTCAATTGTAGCTGTTTCGTTTTTTATGCTTATTTGAATCAATGATACTGATAATTGTCGCATGATAATTAATCTTAGAATATCTTTGTCCGTTTTTAAACATAAGGAACAGTACGTTTTTTCGACGTGAGTTTCGTCAGTTTTGATCGAAGGTGAAGATTTCATTGCTGCATCATCATTTTGATCCATTTTAGTATAGTAGATTTCTGAGTTTTCGAAATGTTGCACAATATTGTGCTGTCGAATAAGGGTAGCTTAATGAAATGTGCAGGCTAAAAAGATGAAATGTTATTGTTAATTATTAGATACTTTACAGAAGTGATTGTTATTTACGAAATTTAGTGTAAATTTTGACACGTTATATAAAAAGATCAATGATAACATAGAAATCACTTGCTGCTAGTAGTATAAACTTAAATTAGTCTGGCAATTAAAGAATGATGAAATCCAATTAATTCCAGGTAATATTAAAATTATATTAATAAACAGAGGTATTAAATCAAAGAAAATTATTTCTTGAGGATTTTGATAATTAATTTCAACTGTGCCAGATTATACGTAAAATTTTCCACTCGTTACCTCGCACAGTTTATTTTCCTCCATATTTTAAATTATTACGAAGACTAAACTAGTGTCTCAATTTAATTTCAAAATGCTCAACGCGTTAAACTCGACAGATAATTAATTAATATCAAAATGCTCAACGTGTTAAACTCGGCGCGTAATTAATTAATTTGAAAATGCTCAGAAATTAACCGTTAATTCTATAATCACATAAATCACTAATAATCAACCCACACCGATTATCGTTCAAAATATACTTTTCAAAGAATACTATTAATACACTCATACAAACCTACCTGTTGAAGTTCAGAGAATGAGGGTTGAAATCGTTTGTCCAAATCTCTCTCTTCGTATTTCCGTCGCACGCAAATCACCCTCGTCGATATCTGGATGTTGAAAATGAAATAGGGTAAACACTTCGAAGAACGCTATCGATACACTCGACGAAGAAAATCCACCTGTTGATGAATGATAGGATATGACGATTGATGTCTCCGGAGTCTATTTCACGATGATGCACTTTTTCAAACGAATATACCAATGTATATTGGGAAAACAAAACAGGATGATACTCGAGTGGAGTATCGCACCGGTGTCTGGTTGATCTATGATTTTGGCGCCAGATAGAGCACTGATATATAAACGTTTACCGGATCAGGCGCAGTCAGTCGGTACCAATTCACCCCCCCGGGTTTACAAGTGGGGGTTGCTGCCTATGGTGGACGTGCCTCCGCTGTATGCCACATCCCCTAGGTGTATTGGTGTTTGAGAATAAACGGGGGTAGGGAGTTGGCACCTGCTGTAAGGCGGAAGATGCGCGCGAGCGGAAGCTGCCAGTTGGTCCCTAACTGAAGCAACAGCTAGCTAACCGAGTGGGGTGTTCAAGGTCGCCTCAAGGTAATCTTCTACAATTGTCCTTTGACCTTTTTCCGCTACTTTTCCTTCGTTCATCGGTTGAAAAATTAACCATTTGCATAATTTTTCTGAAATGTATTAAAAGCTTTTTAATATTCCAAATTCCCGGTGACCTAGCAGTAATAATAATAATAATATTCCAAATTTGCCATATTCTGTTTCTCTGCGACTTTTTTATTTCATATCTTTTATTTCAATTATTATTTTATCTGCAACGCACCTCGATGGAGGGTTAATTATTTTATACTCTATTTCAAGTTCCTCTTACTACCCTTTTCGAATAAGAATTATACCTGGAATTTTAGCTCTATGTACCTCCGTAATTATTTTCTGTTTACTCTGTGAATTTTTTTCGTAAAATACCTCCGATTTCCGTGAAATATTCATTAGTTCGATTTTGCGCGATCTTGATTAAAAACTTGAATATTTTTCCACTCGATGCAATATCATAATTGTTCGAATCTTTCTCTCTGATATTTGAAATATTTATCGTGACCGACCTTGAACTCTTCACCAGCATTTCCCATAACTAAATCGACGCGTACAATCTGGACAACCTTGAAATGTCCCAGGACGAGACGCACATCGATCGAGCGGAAACTGCGTTCTGTGAAACAGAAGGTATGCTCGCGTACGTTTAAATAATATAAACTTAACTAATTCCATCGAAAGAGATAAAGAAACGAAACGTGAAATTTGATGATATTCGATAAAGTTCGTATAAAGTCAGAAAAATTAATAATTATTACAAATATTTCAATTTTTCACGTGGAGTTTGTTGGAGGTATTTGAAAGGTACAAAAGCAGCTTTGAGATTGAAATATTGTTATATTAAAAAAAATATTTTTAACGTAGAAGCCTTTAGAAAAAATCGGAATTACGAGGGAATGAAAGTGGAAAATAATGAATATCCTTGTTTCCAGCGAAGGGGATGAGTGAATGCATAGAAGATATATTGAAACACGTCATAAATTTTATTTTTTTAATTTGTAGTATATAATAAACATGCTTTTTATTGATAAATTAAATTTATCTCAGCATTGAATCGCATCCAGGATACTTGACGTTAATTAAAATTAATAAAGCGAATCTATGGGGGTGGAAATAATTTTCCACGAGTTTATCTGTAACCTTGTACGGGTCTAAATTTTTCCATTTGATTACTGAACTACTGAAACAGTGCAGCTGTTCCTAACTCAAAGCTTGTTATATAGACTCTGGAAAGCTCATTAGAAACTGCCGACCTTATAGAGCACGCAGTTATAAACAGAAAAGCTTAGTTGGTGTGAACCTTGACCGGTTGGATTTCGCAATTTTATTTCATCTTTCGTGATTAATAATAGGTTTAATTAATAGAGGTGGAATTTGATGAAAAATCGAGTACAAAGCCTGAATCATGTTAGTTTTTCCTTTCATAACTGCAAATTGACATAAATTAAGGGTAATATAAAATATATGAAACTTTGTATATTTAATATTCTATTTATTATTTTTTCATAACAGTTGTGCTTATTCTTTATCAGGAAGTTATTGGTAATATTTAATTAGTTCTTGCATCGTTTCACTTATTCTTCTTCAGGGATTCTGTCTAAATTAGTATATGCGTATAGACTGGTCGATGCAGGATCCAGGATCTCTGGTAATGCACCTCGTGCAGGATCTATGCTCTTCAAGGAGATGCTTATCTTCTGATGCATGTGCATCGTTCTTGGCTTGTTTAACGTTCTCATGATGCCTGTTGATTCTGTGTACGAATGCATTTCATTTTCTGAGATGCGTATGTGGCTGATGGATGTTGTCTAAGAAAGTGAATGGAAATTAATTAATTTTTGCTATTTTACCATTTACTATTTTACTGTTTCACTACTTTGCTATTTTAAATAATTTCTAAGCTCACCATATCCATGAAGATATTCTTATACCCAGAACTGAAATCCAGTTGATTCCCAAAGAAATATATCTTCCTATTGGGACAGTTCTTGGGTCTTCTGACCTTTTCTATCCGAACTACTGCCCTGTCCAATGGCACCATGTTGTCTCTCTCTGGTTCAAAGACAATCTGAAATCTCCGACGATTATCCGCGGTGTCCTCTTCACTGTATCCTGTCCTTGACATTCTGATCTCCACCTCGCAGTAGCCGATACTAGAGTTCTCCATGGTAACGAACCTTTGTCGTCCCTTTTCCAGTTCAAAGCCGACGTTCAGTTGACCAATAATGGCCCTAATCATATCTAGCCTCCATCTGGCAATATTCCTCGAGACGACAAGATTCTCGATGCCTCTTGAATTAAATCTGACTTCAAATGGTTGTTCGTCAATGAATCGGTTGGTTATTGGCACGAAATTCTTCGCGTTCGAGCATCTCGGGTCCTCCGGGTCTGGTCGTACGATTTTGCCGTTTGCGAAACGACAACCGAGGGTGTCGCTACCTTTTGATCTGCACTTTAACTCGGCACCGATCATCGAACAGAAATTATCCTTTTGATGGACGATGTTAGACAAAGACATGTTCACCAGTACGTCGTAAGTGGATTCTGGACCATATTGCTGCCAATTTGAGCTCTCGGATGGCTGGTCCACGGGTACGTGTGCGGCTGGAATGATAAGGGGATTGATATCAGACGTGCCACCGGAAATGCACGTTCCCTTTGATTCCTGTCCAGCAATGTTTACGCTTGTTGATGGTAATCGATGGCTCCAGGAGAGCCCGATCGAAGAGACATCCGATTATTAGCCATTCTACCGTGAATTATTATACGAAAAATTGATAGGATGAAATTGGAATTCTTTTTATAACAAAAGGAATGAAAAATTCCTCCGCCACTTTTCAATCTACGGCTTCGTTTTCGGGATACGACTAATTAAACGAGTTGATTAAATACCATGCGATCGAGAGAGCTTATTGTTTACTTATTAATATTTTCACTGGCACAAAAGGATACGTGTATTTCTGTTTCGAAAGATGAAATGGATTAACTATTATAGGAAATGAGTCTGATTAATTGCTTGCAGCGTACGAGATTTGTACAAACATCACCGTCTGAAATTACTCCCCTGCTGTTTTAATAAACCATGAAACGCTTTATGCGCCGTTTTAGAAATCCTTTATGAAACGCGACGATAAAAATATTGACGGTTTTTGATAGCAGAGCTCGGTGTTCAAATATTCTGTCGTTTACGGGAGTGAAATTCACCCCTCGTCTGCACGCGTCAACAACGCCCTCCGAAGTCATGGAAATTTATTTGAAAGAATGAAACGAAAAATCGAAACAATTCGTGTATAAAATTCGAGGTATTACTTGCCTAGGAAAAATGGTAGAATTATTGCCAACATGTCTGATAGCTTCGGCTGACACGACTGATACGACGACGTTCCGACTGTCTCCTCTTTATACGACAGATAAGTTGATTCATTACCGTCTCCTTGAAAACAATTTCATTAACGACCGCTTCCGTGCGGATCGTGGTTCCTTCAGACATCTTCCGTATCTTCTTGCATGCTGCGTATCATTTTCCATAGTTCCTGAATTGCTGCAATAGACACGCCCTCGTGTTCTTGATAAAAATCATGGTAATCATTTTCTTTCGTAATCATCTTTGTCAAGATTTTTTCGTTTTTAAAAAAAAAAAAAAAAAAAAACACTTGTTTGATCATTTGATGGAATGATTTTATTAATTAATAATTAAAATGCGATTCAATTTATGCTTCGAGTGGTTCGTGTTTATTATAACGAACGCAAGATTCGTGTAAATTAATTTGAAAGGCGTTAATTATTTAATTATTTGATTATTTGATGGCCTTCAAAGGCACACGCGATGCGGCTTTCCAGTGATCGAATTAAAAGCTATGAGGTATATCATTGAGGTATAAATTTTCGTCGTTAATGAAGCACAGATGCGTCTCTCAGTTGGATCCTTGCTTCCTCCTAGCCAATCGAATCATTTAAAGCAGTCGGCTGGGGTTAAAGTGGAACTTGCTTTTAAATCTGAGCCTCGTTAATTCGGGGTGAAATTTTACTTTCCCAGTATTCGGTGAAAAAAAGAAATAAAATATTGCAAAAGTAGTGATTTCATTGAATATATGATTGTTAAAGTTTTAATTTTCGAAGTTTAGGGAATTTTGGAAATTTTTCGATAGATGAAGAGTAGATATTTTTTTCTTTTTTTTTTTATACAAACGAAAGGTATCTTTATTCTTCACAGAATCAAATGACAATACAGTTACACACTATTTACAACAATAGTGATACATAATCTATCGTTATTAGTTGGTGAATGGCAAAACGACTATATTGATCATATTTCGTCGGATATCACCGATGTTCCCATAGTGTAAATTCCTGAGAATTTAATCATCATAATCATTTTTTTAAATCTCCATCGAGGAATCATCCTCGAACGATTTATCCATTAACCATCTTCCAATGAATATGCTAGCTGGTTCGGGATCTTTCACCTCGACTGGTTTACTTTTAGCTGGTAGAATTGATTCTAACATCAGGCTTATGTTCTCGTATAAAGTTGTCATCATTCCTTCGGATACTTTGTTGGTGGTTATAACGTTTGTTGTACCCGATAAGAACTCCGTGGATGTTAGCATGATGACGTTCTTTGATGAACTCTGCAATTCAAAGATTAAGGAGATATGTAGATTTCGAAATTGTCAAATTTTCAAATTCTAAAATTCTTAAATTCTCAAACTCACAAATTCTCAAACTCAAATTCTAAAATTCTCAAAATCTCAAATTCCCAAATTCTCAAATTCTTAAATTTTCGAATTTTCAAATTCTCAAACTCAAATTCTAAAATTCTCAAAATCTGAAATTCCTAAATTCTCAAATTCTTAAATTTTCGAATTTTCAAATTCTCAAATTGTCAAATTCCGAAATTCTTAAGTTCTCAAATTCCTAAATTTAAAAATTTTTAAATTCTCAAACTCAAATTGTCAAATTCTCAAATTCTAATATCTCAAATTTTTTAATTCTCAAACTCTCAAGTTTTAAAATTCTAAAATTCTCAAAATCTCAAATTCCCAAATTCTCAAATTCTTAAATTTTCGAATTTTCAAATTCTCAAATTGTCAAATTCCGAAATTCTTAAGTTCTCAAATTCCTAAATTTAAAAATTTTTAAATTCTCAAACTCAAATTGTCAAATTCTCAAATTCTAATATCTCAAATTTAAAAATTCTCAAACTCTCAAGTTTTGAAATTCTAAAATTCTCAAACTTTCAATTTCCCAAATTCTAAAATTCCCAAATTTACCAAATTCTCAAATTTCCAAAACGCAAACTTTCAAACCCTTGACAACTAAGGGACCTGGTCCACCCTCAAAATACTCTAACTACCCTAACAGACATGAAACACCATAAGTCATCCTTTCTACATAAAACACATCAAACACTATAACACAAAATTTCGAATTCTCCCCCAGCCATCACAGAGTCACAATTCAATCCCCCAAAATACTCACAACAGTGGACACCACGTCGCTGACTTGTCTGAAGCTCTCTGCGCTTCCAAAAAAATAGGGCACTTTGTGGGTGCACATATGAAGGTGCCTAACCTTCCTAATCTGCACCAATTCACCATCCTTCACACTGAACATGGTACCGAGCATGTATCCCCGATTCTTATGCGATGGATAACCAATCACGTTTCTATCCACGGTGAAAGCAGTCGCGCACTCTCCCATTGTAAAATTTTCCACCGCTACGAACATTTCTCCATCCTTTCCAACGAGTACACCGATGTTCAGTTGATCAACGATCACCCTAATCATATCCAGTTCCCTCGGTTGAATATTTTCGTTCACCACCAGACTCTCCAATCCTTGCTCGTTAAATTTAATCTCGAACTGATCCTGGTTGAAACCGTAGGCTTCTTGGTTGACCGGTACCGCTGGTGTACCGTCAAGCCAGACGTAACTGTTCGCCTCCGAGTCACGAAAATGGCAACTCAACGCGTAGAATCCTTTCGGCTGGCATACCAATTTCGCAGTCACGTTCAGCTGGATACTAACGTAGCTACCCTCTTCGGGTATCGCCGTCGAATTGACTCTCACCTGGAACGTGTACTCCGGCCCGTACTCCCACGGCGAATCGACGGCGACACGTGCGGCTGAAAAACGTGTTCGCGTACGATTACGATCGTTGGACGTTTCGCGTGGTCCCGTGAACGCGAGCATCTCGTTCCCCGTACTGATACAACCTAACCACACACGTGAATTGAATGATTGAACTACTTGAATTGGCCCGATTACACCCGGCCGGTAGTTTCCAATCCGCATCACGCGGTTCCGACGGACCATTTCGTTGCTTCTCACATTCGAAAACGTTCTTCCGTTGAGCCTAGTATACACTTGGATCGTTTCGTATGAACTTTCTTAATCAAATGGTCCTAATTGATATTTCTACAAATTACATAGGAGATTTGAATTTTTGTGAAAAAATTAATAATTCATTGAGATTCAATTATCTCAGAGTGCCTTGAGAAACGAAGAAGTTTGAATTGAGGAGGTTTGAGTGCACTTGGATGCAATTAGTGTAAGTAATTTTGAATGAGAAAGATTAGGGTTGTGTACTCTACAAATTCTATTGTTTCATAGACTAATTGATCATATAGGTGGTTGAAAGTGTAGGTCCACGTGTATCGTTGGCAAGACTTCCATGTGTAATTTCATATTTTTAGAGAGTTAGGAGATAAGGAAAATTTGGGGAAAAATGGCCAATAGGTAAATGATCGTAGGTATTACCATGAATTTTTATTAATGAACTTTCAACCCATTTTTGGGTCCTCATTAAAAGATCAATACACCTACGTGACACCTACGTTCATCTGGTCCATACTGACCATTTTTTGGTAAAATTCCTTTCTAAAGGAAAGTTAAAGTTCTTCCTCTTTGATTTAGGATCGAATCGTGATCCTGGTACCTGCAGAAATTATTTTAGAAAATTGTATCTCGAGTGTATCTCGTTTTGAGACTGTTGCCAAGTGTATATTAGACATGTAGATCCTCTGGAACGATCAGCAACGATCAGTAAAGTGTCCGTTTTTATTTTGAATCGAAGATGTCGCGGTTTCACCGATTCGGGCCGATCAACGATACCCTGTGGTGTGGCTTACCTAAGAAAAACGGCACTATATTCAGCACTACGTACATGGTGACACCGTGCAACGTTCAGCTACTTCAGTGGAGTAACAACTGATGTTGGGGTCGCTCTTATACCGTGGTTAAACTGCACTACTGACCTCTTCTTACGATTAGCACTCGGCTCTCTCTTTCCTGCTGCAAAATAAAGCGTGTGCACACGGTAGCTTCGTCGAGAGAATTGATGTAACGTTTCGAAACGGGGCCATCGAAAGGACCCTCCCTTTGTACATTGTCTAGCATGAAGGGATTTTCAAAGGCGAATGGCAATATAGGGGAAGATTCATTCGAAATAGATTTATTCATAATATTACTCCCCTTGTACACCGTCGAACTTGGAGGGATTTTCAAAAGAGAATATAGGAGATATAGGGGAAGGTTCATTTTAATTTTGAGGCAGCCTCATGATATTGATATTGATATTTGTAGATGGAAAATGTCCTTAGAGTAAAATTTTAGTTTTTAAAAATTTTTCAATTATATTAAATTAGTTTTAATATTACTTTCTTGTACTCGTAAGTATAATACATAATGGGATCTTCTTTCTCTATATCGCCAAGTTAGATAAATTTTTGGCAACCAATCTTAATGGGACGCAACGTATGCGTCATTAAGAGAGAAAGGGTTTAAATCGTTAGGTGTTGCTCAGAGTTCCGGGAATTTGCTAATTGGACATATGTTGGTCGAAACACGCGTTGAATTTCTTGCCACCGAGTATTAGCGTACAAATCGATAAATTATATGGTTCGATGAGTCTTCGTTCCAAGGGAAACATGTAATCAGATGGAACGCGTGTTTCGATTAATTACCGTTGCGAGAGAATCCTCTTTAGCTATCAGGTATCCGGAATTCTCAGAGTATCTTACGTTAAAATTATATTTTAAGAGTTTGATTGTCGTAAAGAAAATAATCTTAACTGTTACTATTTTAATTATTTTATCATTTTTAATCATTAAATTTCATAAAATGTAGCGTTTAACTGAGAAATATGAATAATAAGCGAATGTCAATTTAAATTTTCGCGCGTATACGCGAGTGGTGGGGGGCAACAGGCCTATATATAGGAGGTCCCTTTCACCACATTGTCATTCTCCTCGAGGAAGCCTCGGGGGAAGGGCGGGTCCCCGGACCTACGATCTTTTCCTGAAGAATCCTGATTTGATCGCGAGTGTACGTAAAATAAATAATGATTCTAGGAAGGGTTGGGGGTGCAGATAGAAAAAAAGATTCATTCTTTCAAATGCAACAATTTTACTACATAACGTGCTAACAAATTAATTATTGCTCAGAATCAAGAACCATAAATCAACCGTATAATCGTTTCAATGTATCTCGTTTCAATGTACATCCTTTTTCAATGTAGTACCGACGATCATTGGATTTGCAACATCTGTGAGTTCAGCCCCGGCAGGATTAACAGACACCAGAGATACTCGTATGTGGTCCAATACGGTTCCAATTTTTTTGTTGTCATTCATATTATATAATTCAACTTTGTTGATGCTTTCCGAAGTGAAGTTTGAGCTTGTGATGAATATGCGGCCAACAGAGGATATCTGAAAGTTGTATGATAAAATAAAAATGCAAAATATGTAAATTGAAATGTAATCCAATTAGTTGAAAATTTTCGTCGAGTAGAAATCCAAATTTAAAGATTTCTTTGCAAGCACTCTAATATTATTTTTCTACTTTCAAATCCAATCTTTACATACCAAATTCTCCTTAGACGCGACAGGAACAAAGCCAAAGATGTGCCTGGTACCAAAATAATAAACCCAATGAGGAGTACAATTATTAAGATTCGTCTGTTTGCTGATCTCCGTCGCTTGTTCAGGATCGATCTTCTGATCGGCTAGCCAAACGAGCTGATACTCTTTATTCGAAGCCAGTTCCTCCAGTTTCGTTCGAGAGATATTATAATTGACCGAGCATTCGCCCAAAGTGGAGTTCTCCACCTTCCTCAACCGCGATGGTACGTCTTTTCTGAATCTAATCCCAACGCTCAGGTGATTGGCGATCAGTCGATACATATTCACCAGATAATCACCCATCAATCTGCTATCGTTCTCGAACGTGTAACTCTCGATTCCATCTTCCTTGAATAAAATCTCAAACGAGGCATTGCCGAATCCAAAATCGGAGAAGGTCGCGCTGCTAGGCGGGATGGAAGCTTCCGGTTCGAATTTCTCCGGTAGGAATTTCGTGATTCTTGCGTTCTCGAAGCGACAGTTGAGCCGTACAGGTTCCTTAGGACGACATTTCATCGTGACGAGCAAACTGGAGGCCTTTGGCTCACCTAAGTCCACCTCCATGTGCGTGACCATTCCGAGGCTCGCGTTGAACGTATATTCTGGTCCATATTTCCATTGGTCCTCGTTGGCTGGCACTCGTACTCCTGGAAAGATAAAGTGCGAACTTGATGGTTAATAAATCGAAGGACGTTGAAACGATCGTGCTAACGAAGGTCTAGTTTAGAAACTGGGTCAATAACTGGCTGGCCGAAGAAATGTTTGGATTACAGATATAAACACAAATGGCGAGGGACTCGTCGAATGGTGTCAACGTTTTAAACTCGTTACAGCTCTTGACCCGTCCTTCGTGAATCATTGGGGGATATCAATGATAACCGGAGTGCTAACTGACCTAGGAGAAACGGCACTAGAATAAAGTGCATACCGTCGATCGTTGTACCGTCGATACGAAGTTGACTTGGACGGTTGGAGGCTCGCTTTTATAGCCTACCACCGGTCGACCGAGTCGGTCTAGGTAGGGCGCAATTTGATGAGCTCCTACAGCGGACAATAACAAACTTCTACGAACGAATTATGTACTACCATCTATTCTTTTTCTATTTACCGACTTAGTAGGTCAGATTGTACGAGCTGGATGCAAGAGATTCTACTAAGTAAATGAAGGGGAGATTCAAGAATAGTTGCTTTAACTACCTCTCTCTATGGGGGTCATTTATGACTAGATTGTGCATGTTTATGTAGTTCAAATACATCAAATTTTATTATTTTACTATTTCAATGATAATGTAACACTTTTACATTGACATGGTAGATTTATTTTAGAAAATATTCATAGGGAAAACAGGAATTCTCAAAATCTTAATTTTGATGATATTAATATTAAAAGTAATTTAGAAAAGAAATAATATCATTTTCAGTTGTTATATATTATAAAATTTAGTGTATAACTGAAAATTACGAATAACAAAGTGAATATTAATTCAAATTTTCCCGCGCATATGTTTGCATGCCAGTGGTGGGGGAACCATAGACCTATATATATAAGTGCCCCTTCGCTAGACTATTATTATCCCCGGACGCGCCCACGGAAAGGGGATAGCTACGGAAAGGGGTGAGAACTACCGTTTTCCCTGGGATGTCTGATTTCATGATTTCATCGCGTAATTAACGTGCGCATTAATTGATTAGTTACGTTCGCAACTTGTTTGCTTTCGTGCTGAAGCATTCGTTTTATCAACTCCGTATGATTTTATGATCCACGTGAACGGTAAATCACACAATTATTTTATATTCCAGATGTAATCACATATTATAAATAATTGTAAATTTAAGGGTTTTTATTAAAATTCTAATGTATAGGAATTTTCAAATTTCAAATTTTGTGAAATAAGAAATGGATAGGTAATGGGATCAGGAAAATGTGGAGATCGAATATTTGCCTAGGAGAAGGGAAAAGTGTGGGTGGAGAAAAATCATGGGGTATCATTGGTAAGAACCTTGAAAGTGATATTTATCTCATAGAGCGAAGAGAGTAATTTTCTCATTATCGCGTTGATCATGTGCAATGATCTCGTTTGCAACACTAAATTAGATGACGTCTACTGTTAGCGCGGTAATAAGCATAACGGTGATAGTTTTTCATAAACATTATGAAAATTATTTAATTTTCAATAATCATACAAACTTCTTTTTCAAATAAACAGTGATCGTTTTACACATTTTAATTTTAAAATCCATGAGATAGAAAATATTATTGAATTCCCAAATATTTTACAAGTTGTATTTTTATGTTTCATTATTGTAAAAAGTTAAAATATCGCGGGAAATATATTTACAAATTTTTGAATTTTATTAAAACCGCGCTTAGAGAATAGTATCTCTACCGTCCTCTGTCTGTGAATGAACAAACTAATGAAACAAAATACTGCAATTTTGTTCAAAATAAGTTCTAAAATAAAGTTAAATTGTTATCGTAGAATAATTTTTTCACCTGAATATATCGTAAAAATTGCTTATTTTATAAAAGAATCAATTTTCTGTTTCGTTTATTCCTTCGCTTTTCGCTAGATGGCACGAATAGCACTGTTTTCAAATCGCGCCTTGACATATAAAATAAAAAGACGTAAAAATAAGGAAATAAAATTCCTTAATTTACATAAAATAAAAATGAATATTTAATTAAATACAACTATTCAACATCGGAAATTCCCAGAGTTTAAAGGTACAATTGCAAAATAACATCGCATATTTTTTCCTATTTGAAATGAAATATAAAACCTACTATTTTAAATATTTTCTTTATGATGCCAGTTTCAATTATTTTTCGAAACAAAAATGTTAAAGATAAAACAATCTTTATTTTCATAGGATGCAAAACAATAGTCACAAAAACTGTACGAATTCTCCTTAGGAAAACAGGCAAACAATTCTTTTTGTTTCCTGACTGATGAAACAGGTTTTCAAACGGTACATAAATTACGTCTGTAATTATCCTGTGATACGGTAACAGCATGTGGTTGCAGTAACTTGTATGATTTTCCAACAAACCTGACAATTAACAATTATTTTCCAATTTGTGTTGCGAATTTTCTCATGGTCTCTCCGATCAATCTATGAATCAATTGATAGCTATAAATGTCGAGAAACTATAAATTTCAAAGTTCATAAAAAACCCCATTGAAAGGAATCACAGAGTGTAATTCCGATGACGTAAATCATTCACCAAATTAAGAAGCGTTTGTTATTTTGTACTTCGACCGCCTCCAATAAAATTCAATCGCTAAACTAAAATTAAACGCGATCGGAATTCTTCGCTTCTTGAACAATGAAATAGTAATTAAACTTTAAATAAGGAGAGATAATTAAAATTAGCAAAGTGATAGATATTGCAAAATTCGCGATACTTGGAAAATTTTTTAATTTAATTATTTTAAAAATTTTTTAATTTAATTATTTTAAAAATTTTTTAATTTAATAATTTTTTAAATGTTAAGATTTAATAATTTTTCAAATGTTGAAATTTAATAATTTTTTAAATGTCTAGATTTAATAATTTTTTAAACATTAAGATTTAATAATTTTTCAAATGTTAAAATTTGATAATTTTTTAAATGTTAAAATTTAATAATTTTAGCATTTAAATATCTTAGCATTTAAATGCTGAAACTTACATAATTATTTATTTTTCATCCTATAATTATTTCCATGACGATTTCCCTGTAGATTAAATTTTCAAATGATAATTATTATTGACATTAGACCGAAGCCGAAGCCACCATTCTTCGTTCATAAATCCGCAACAGTACTCGAACAATAAGCAATAATTCCCAGAACAATTGTTTCTCTTTATTCTTTTACCAACAAGTCTCACATTTGTTCAAGGACCCGTTACATCTCGATTCCTAAAGAAGCTCGGGGAAAATCCAGACACGAATTCAACAGCAAGATAAATAAGAAATAAAAGTGACCCTGACGGTAGAAATCAGTGTTACTCCTTTTCGTTTTCTTTTCAAGAACGGACGACACACTACCAAGAGAGTAGAAGAATAAAAGGAGTTTTACGAAGGCTCGTGAATGGCGCAAACGGGATTTCGTGATCTCGGTATTTCCATGGTTCTCATCTCGTTCAATTCAGAAGATGATTCTTTATCAATCGGAAAATTCACAAACAAAAAGAAAAATGTTTAACTAACTTGCTGAACTTTTAACATTTTCATTAATATTTCCGAATAACAAGTATATTCTTCATTTTTTTCAAGATAATTCTATCGGGAAACCTAGCAATTTTATCAGCGCTTAATGCATGTCTTGCATCATTAAAAAGATTGTTTATTTTCGTAAGAACGTGGGAGGGTCGTGAACTGTATGACGTGATAAAATTTCACGAATCTGTTATCGTTCATTTAAAACGAAGTAATCGTTAATTAAAGTATATCTCTTCTATTCTCACCGTAAATATGTTGACAGGATTGATAATCGAAATGGAATGGCATTTAATAAAAGGTGATTTCAAAAAACCGCAAGTTGACATGATTTTATATCGCGAGAATCAATAACTTCTCGTAATGCTTGGGAAACAATAATTACTCCGAAACAAATGATTCTTGAAAAGATGTGTGAATCAGAAACTAATATACGCGTACTTCATGGTCTATCATTTAACATTTCTAAATTCTGACATCATCTGATTATGCAATTTGCATGTTAGATGCTGCTAGGATCATCAATATATGGCAGCACAAATTTTATGATTGAAAAACAAAAGGAAAATAAATTAAAAAATTAATTTTGCAAGGTAGCAAGTTGAAAATTTAAATAATAAAAACAGCATAATATTTCTCATTTAAAATTGAAAAAATTTGAGAAATATTAACATTGAAATTTAGATTAAGGAAATTTCCAGATTCCAAATTTTTAATTAAGAAATTTTCCAATCAATGTGAGATATATCAAATGATATAAAATTTTCAAATTGAAATGCTTCGCCTCTGGTTCGCCTCCGAAACTTTTAACAAGTTCGTAACTTTCATTTGTTCGCTTTTGAGGTCAAGATACGTTCGACAAAATTTCTTCCTTTTCTCGGGGCAAGAAGGATTTCACGCATCGGGAGGAGAAATTAGCGTAGGAGTGTACGTTTACGACGAGGTCGAACACGTTTTCCCCCCGATCGTAAATTTCGCGTTTTTAAAGATGCGTAGACGCGTGTGGGGAATCGGGCACAGGAAGTTGTGGCGATTTCCCATCGCGCCATGACTCGACCGGTTCGTGGTGGGGAATCCGGTATCTGGTTGGAGTTATATACAAGAGGCACCATCACTTTGAATAGATTAGTACCGAACAGTGAAATCGAACGATCGGATCGTTGCCGAAGAACACCGTGAAGTGTAAATTATTATTGCAACAGTGATAAACAAATACATGATGGTAAGTACCATTAATGTTAATAGGCATCGTCGATACAACGTAGATTGGCAATTGTAAACATTGATATAAATTTAATATTTTTGTATTAAAATATTACAATTTGTCATCGGCTCCCTTATAGATGAAACGCGTCGCAGTTTTGTTCACCGCCGTTATCATGGTGCAATGTCAGAGGCCTCCTTACGCCGGAAGTAGCAAGCCCTATCCTTCGGTGCTTCCGCAGTACCTCGAAGAGCAAGCAGCAGCTGCCGCAGCGGCGGCTAATTCCACTGGAGGAGTTCTAAATAGAATCGATACGAGCAATGGAACAAATGTCATTTCTTTGTCGGCATCTCCAGAAGCAAGTAACGCGAGCGTCGCGTCGACGATTCCTCCGGACATACCGATTGACGCGTTAGGAGATATCGATTTGATAAATAGAATCAAAACGTGGCCGAGAGAGAAGCAACCGTTCTGGTTCATCAACTGGCAACAAATCCAGAAACATCGTGGTGATTCGAACAACAGAGCTCAACCGGCTGAAACGCAACCCAATTCAAGATCATTTTTCGCGGGTTAAAATGAGATCGTTATGTATCTTTGAGTATTATCATCTTGTGTTTAATTTCAGACGACAACGCACTGCCGTCGCTTCATCGCTAGTCAAATTCGATTTTTTTAAATAATTTTTATAATATAATTGATCGGTGGTACGATTATTATATAGACACAGGATTATATCCAGTGATTATATCTAATACATAGTTATTGCAAATGGAATGTTACTAATGATGCAGTAACATTAATTCCTGATGGGTGAATTACTATCACGTAAAGTTTGTTTCATCGATGAATGATTGTTCTTTCATTTTTTATGTAACTGCAGAGAAAAGCGTTTGATATCTATTTTTAAACAGCAGAATTTTTATCAAGAATAAAAAGATATTAATTAAAGAAGGTACGCTTGAGTGTGCTTGAAAAACTTTAAATTTCCAATCCACCTGCTGAGCAAGACGCGACAGCCAATAGGACGCGAGAACGAGTCGGAACGGCGTATAAATCCGTGTGTCTGATTGGTCGAGGGAAGCTGCGCACGAGTAGTCGAGTACACGCCGGTGACGTCAGGGCAGTCCGTCCAATGTAAGCGTCGGAATCTCAGTAATAACCCTACGTGCGTGTCGTACGGCGAGGCGTGCTTCTCGTATTCGGTCGTAGAAACGTGAAAGTGGTAGAATATCTCGTTCCGTGAAAGATGTATACCGACAGTACAATGCTGATCGAAATAATCGTCCGATAACCTTTTCATTCATAAACAAACACGCATCATTTACGAGGCAAATGTATTCGATGAGCTTGCGTGTTAAGAAAAAGTCAGATTGTACGCGAACCGCCGCCGTACCTGGCAGTCCACGCGGCCCGGCCCCAAAACACTTTCGCCTCGCTATATACACGCGAAATCGCATCGTGTTTCATTCACAACGCGAGCGCCACTGGCAATGTCGGGAAGTGACAGCCCAACATTCTTTCACGGCCAGCCCTGGTCCAGCTGGATCGAAAGAATCGGACGAGACAAGCCGTTGAGTAAGTGCGATGTATCTCATCGAAATGTTCGTTCGTTTGCTGTCGCTGCTTTAAACGCGACTATGCCGACGAGCGTCTGGCTCGTGTACCTAACCTCAACTTCGATGCTCCTCTTTGTCCGTCCGACTTTGACGCAGGGCATCGTTAGGGGCCCGTCGCACACGTTTCTTTTAAAAGCATAGCCAACAATTGTCCGGTGCGTTAAAAGTTTCATTTATTCACCTCGCAATACGGACATTTTATTATCAATTTCTGACGACAATTATGTAATTCGTAGCGAATCTTTAACTGTTAAATACGGAGCGTCGAAACGTTAGCTTTAGAAGGATATGGCATGGATATCATTGAGAATTTCGTAAATCATTTGAAAACCGTACAGCCTTGCTCGTATTAATATTATTGTACACTTGTATTTTTTATATCTGTGCTCTTTCTTATGAAATTTTGTTGGAAGAATATTATGCATGTACAAAATGTAAACTTAATAAAAGTTGTTTACCCAGAAGTTTGTGTTTTTTATTTCACATTCTACTTGATACTGATAAAATTTTATAAGATAATGATCTTTTATGGGCAATATTTGATACGAGTCTAACAGTATCGTATGATTTTACTGCAATTATGCATTTACAACTGTAGTATATTAAAATTGAACTTTAAACAGAGGTATAAGATTAATCATGATAATCTTTTATCTCTAGTATTTTTTTTGAAATTAGAAATTACACGTACATTCATATGTATATAATCAGTTTAATTAAAATATTTTTATATGAAACATTAGATACTGTATTGTTTGCTCCATAAGAGAATTCGCTTTGTTTCAGGCGATGAAGAAACAGAAGCTCAACTTTCCACCTCAGTTACACGGCTTTCAGCAGAAGGTAAATAGCAATTTACAAATAACTTCAATACAGGAAGCACATTGTTCTCTTTAAAAAACAACACAATATATTTTTTCTAACAAGATATCTTCTTGTTTCAGATATTGATTTATACGGATTTTGTCCTGAGAGGGATTCCTTTTACACGGTAGTATGTGAAACGTGCCATGCCATAGTCAAACCACAAGCTCTCATTCAGCATATGGGTATGTGGTTTTCACTATTGCTTCTCTATTAATAGCAGTATTCCTTTACAAATTAATTTTCTAGATTGAAAAATAATTTGAATTTCTCTTAAGAGATTAATATTTATTCAGAAAAATACAAGGATACACAGAATGTAATACTACATGAACACTATATTTTATATTTTCTCACAGAAAGCCGTCATCCTTCTGGTACGGTTGCTTTTCCACCTCCCACAACTCCAGTCGTGAAGCCTCCCGCGAAAACACCTTATTGTAAAGTGTCGAAGTTGAAAAAGGCACAGCCGTCGCCGCAGATCACCGCCGGTAGCAAAATCAATCACACGACTGTGAAACGTAACGCGGAGCAGCCAGGCATCTCAACGAGTTTGTCCTCGTCATCGATACCGATCTCCTCGTCGCCTCGATCGCCTCTCGAGTCTCTCCCGGTTCAGACGTCGAACTCCAGCGTATCGGTGGTCGCCTCTAGCCCGGTGAAGAGTCCGGGCACCGCGTGTCAGCCTCGTCGAAAGAGGTTGAAAACCGATCGGTCCTTGCTCAAGGACCGCGAGTACGATCCCGATCGGCATTGCGGCGTGTGGAACGACGAGACCGGGAAACCTTGCACCAGGTCGCTCACCTGCAAAGCGCACACGGTCTCGCTGCGACGGACGGTCATCGGTCGGAGCAAAACCTTCGACAAGCTCCTCGCGGAACATCGCGCCTCGAAGGAGGTGTCAAATCGGCCGACGAAGTTGACCGTGACCGGTACAGTCACCTTATCCTCGACAACGTCCAGCCTGAATCCCTTGACACCCACTACTCCCACGTTGACCGTCGAAACGGAAGCACCCAGTTCTCCACCCGTTTTATCGCTGCCAGACACGTATCCACTGCCAAAGGTAAGAACCTTCGCTGATATTGCTTGTTTTATTGTCTTTGGGATCTCCCTAGATTTTTCCTTAGATTTCCCTTGGATCTTTTCCTAAGTTTTCCCTAGGTTCTCCATTGGATATTCTTGGGATTTCCTTAGATTTTCCCAAGTACTAAAACTAATTCCTAATTAAGAGAATTTAATTTAATTTCTCGTTTCACGCTATTTAAATGCTGTTTATTTGACTTCGCAAGAAGATATTGCAATATGTATTAGGAATGTGTCGTGCTGCTTTGATTTTCTATAGGAAATGAAAGTCTTTCTATTTTCTTGCGAAATCTTTCTTTCTATGCTGTGATCCATCATATGTCTGGCGTCGAGGTGCATCTCTTCTACTCTGTTTATTTGTATAAATTTTCAGATTCGATAAAGTGAAATCTTTTAATGTAGATAATTTTTTGTGACGTTCTTATAATAAGCATGGTCTGGTATATCGGGATAAAACTTTCATTTTTCAGTAGACATTGATAATTTGGTTTTTGTTTTACTTTTCTTGGATCGAAACAATTTGCATATCAAAGGTGGTTCCTTCAGATCTATCGCTTTTTTGGAATAGAAGTGTCAAATGTTTTCCAGTATATAAAATATTTAATGATTTTAGAATCTTACAAAATTAAATGCATAGGAAGAATTCTAAAAGATTCTCGCTTGACGTATAATTCCGTAGCGTCTTTAAGAAATGTACGAATCTTAGTGGAGCCATGACAGCCAACTAATGAATTAGCCAAAAATTGGAGAAAATTAAAATCGGAAAGAAAACAGGTGTTAGCCGATGAAAATTTATCGATCGATACCCCTCTTCGTAGATCTCTTAAGACGCATCGAGACGGAAGTAAGAGAAAAGAAAAAAAAGAGATAGGAACGACGAGGGTGTCGGTTGATCCCTGTTTTCTGTTTTTTTGTCATTGCAGGCTGTTGATTTGCTTTATCGGTGTCTGGCCCCGCATGGCTCCGCTAAACCTGTAAGGCATGCTTTCTTTTCGCCGGCGATCTATAAAAATGACCGATCTCATTGCCAGTCGCGAACGTCTCTTTATTTTCTTTTTTAGACCAAACTCGAAGAGGATTTCGCGAACGAAGAGTTGAGGAGTTTGGAGTCCTCGCTGGTGAACTCGACCGGTTCGTCGCAGTCGAGCTCGATGATGGCGCCGATATCGGTGGTGCTGCCTTCCCTCTCACCGTTGCCAGCTAACAGCGAGGAAGCATCGTCGGTGGCGACCTTGATACCGAGTACAGCCTCGCCAGCGATACCGGTACCAGCAACACTGCCAGCCACTTGCACACAGCCATCGTTGGTCACCACGGTACTCGAGGGTGAAACGCCGATCGACATCGATCCCGAATCAGCGATGACCATCTATTCGCCGGTTTACAAGGACAAGTCACAGTTGATGGTGCAGTTGCCGCGTTTGAACAATATCGCGCATTCCCCTATATCGAGGAGTTGCCAACAGGTACCGGCGTCCATGCCGAGTCTCATCTTCGAGCCTATGGAACAGTTGGAGCAGCTGGAACAATTGGAGCAACAGCACGCGACACAGATCAACGGAAAGAGACTGAACCACACGAGCAATTCGAGTCTGGTAAATCAGAGACAGTCGAAGAGAAGCAAACACGACTATCAGCAAGAGTTGTCGACGGCTATCCAAGTGGAAGCTACCACAACATCGTCGCCGTATCCTCATTTCGGCGACATATCTTGGTCGAACTGTCACCCGGAGCCACTGGCCGTAAGTCGGTGGCTTCGTATTTCGTCCAACCGTAAGCAGTATAACTTTAATATTCACTGACATAAGACCCCACCCACTCCAGGCTGAGGACCAGGCTCAAGCGGCGTACGTCTACCTCCTCCGTTCTTCGAGATCCGTTTATTATCCTGGTCGCCCTTGTTAGGTCGCCGTCGATCCTAGGTCCGAAGCCTGTCGAGAAGGGGGACAAAGTCTTGATGAGCGGAACCATAAGAGCCCGCCCATCGAAACCGGCAGCAATTCCTTAACCTGGAATTGAGATGCTTCCTTTGCATGATTCTCTGCCGCACAACATCCGACAAGGTTAGTTATCCTTTCGTTTCATTTCATTTATCCCCGTTGCCTTATTTTTCTTTCTACATCGTCCCGTCTCTGACGTCGGGAGACGAGGAAGGACGTTTTCTATGAAACGAACGAAGGTTTAGGTTTCCTCGACGATGATCGAGGATTATAGGCAGGCTAATTGTTATGGATCGTTCGATTTAGGGGATATATTCTTACGATGGTACTTTTGTTTTTTTTTATACAGAAAAGAAATCATGATTTATAGAATTAGGTGAAACATTCCTCGATTTAACATTGACCACGATCCCCTGAAACGTTCTACGGATCCGTACGAAGAGCATCTTGTATCAACGATGCTTCCCTTCCGATGATTATATTTTTCACGACGAAATGTCACAGAGAGTGATGCGACAATAGCAATGCTAGCCCTTTTCAAGTATTATATTGGCAGTGGTAGGTAGTTTAGGACACCGACTGATGTACAATTCCTTTCCACCGTCAACATTTTTTTTTTACCGAAATCGCAATTGGTCGAACTTTGATCGGCGTACATCCGAACGCGATTTGTTGATAGGAAAGGATGCAATTTTATTTTTCGTTTTCCCGATGTAGGGGTGCGCGGGTATCCGGAAATTCGGGTGATGATTTATATCTCGAACGCAATGTCGTCTGTCGAGTTGAGTTTCGAATCTCGAGTCGGGTTCGGGTTCCAAAATTACAGCTATACGAATGAATTCACGCGTTGACCCGAGGCTCGGGTACCCGAATCTTCGGTACCGCGGGCGCGAAGTTACATCGAATCGTCCCCGTGAGAAAGGGACTCACTTGAAATAGACAAATGACCAGCCAATAAATTCGTTGTACATACAGAACGTTTGTTAGAGTAGTTCGATTGAGAAAATGAAAAAAAAAAAACATTAGTAGAAGTTGCTCGTGCATTTTCGCACCGAGGCATCATCAGTTTTGTAAATATACCCAGAGATCATAAATACCGTTGTCCTTTTTGTAAATAACTGAGAATAGTTGGACGACGCACGGAGCGGCCGACGATAAGGTTTTCGCGCGTAGAAACTTCGACTTATTTTCCATGATCCGTGTACAAATGGTCTCTCACCTTGTACATACATATACATATATATATATATATATCATAGTATACATACATATATTTTTTTTATCGATCACGATCTCTTCAACATTTTTACGTATGACACCTACGCGACCTCAGTAAACGTAACGTCGTCGATTATTCGTTTTTTTGTTTCTTTGAAAATTTTTTTTTTTTTTTTTTTTATTGTTCAGTTCTGCTTTTTTGTGTACAATGGAATGTGAGAGTGTAACGTGTTTAGTGTAATTAATTAATCATGGCAGGAAATCGATTCGATCGCTCGCTTAGGATCCAAATTTCAGCTTCTGCTCTTTGCATCGATCGATGAAATTCATCGATCTTGAGAGTATAGATTGTATAGAATTTTAGTAGAGAATTAGTTAGACTTGAGATAATGAATAATTGTATTTGTTCTTTCATTTCTTTTTCTGTTTTTAATTGCCGAATCACGGCAGACGACTTTAGCGAGCCATAAATTCTCCCAATCGTAGGTAGATACCAGCCATCGTCCCACCCCCTATCCCTCCCCTAAGACGATTTATTTTTGTAAAACGTGTGTCGGTTCTAATTTGCGCGAAGCGCTGTTCTCTTCAGCGTAACGCGACAGGTGGCATATATCTATACATACATTTACGAACTTCTTATCATAGATTGTGATATTTAACTAATTAGCGAAAATTTATTCTAAATCGTGCGTGTGCGTTAGCGAAAGGGGGAGAAATATTTGGACGGGCGAAAAGAGGCGGGATGTATGATCTTTGAAGAGGGGAAAAAAGATTTATATTAGGGGTGTGGGAGGAGCCAAAATCCCTATGGGATGGTTGGAATGGGTGAAAGGGTTGAGTTTGGTAATATAAAAATTTTGGAAAATTCATATTATTTTCTTGGAATAATTCTTATTTAATTCTACCCTGGATTAGAAATATTTAACCCTTTTGGCACTGTAGGCTATAGTCATCTAATGCAAAATTTTTTATTGCAAAGAAAATTTCATGGTAAAAATAATTTTATTTCTATTTTCAAAAAACATTTTTCAACCCAATTAGACCCACTATTTTGAAGTCCTCCCAGCCCCTAATTTATTTGCGCTTAAATCCGGCTACGATTTTCGCCGCTCCCGTAGAAAAAATAAAATTTCCGCTCTGTGTATCGTGTTTGTAGCGTTTTCAGAGTTCTATTGTTGAGTTCTGCTTTAGACGCTGAGGTCTAGTGAGCGAAATGAAAGAGATATATGCTATAGGTGAAAAAATGAAAAGAGAAAATTAATTTTGAAATAGGGAAAAAGACGAGCCGACGAAGGGACGTTGAATTTCATTTCGTTACCGCGCAGTATAAACATTATTATTACCCGCTATTACTCGAGACGATAACGTGGTGTCCAGTCGGTTCACCGCCATGTTTGTTCCTTGGAGGATCAATGAGACGATGATTGATCGATAGATCTGAATATAGTGTAATATATGCCTCACTTTGATCAATAGTAAACGACTATATCGCCTTATAATCGTAATCATGAATTTTGCCTTAAGAATTAATTTAGTAACCATTGAAGACTATTGTGAGAGTGTTTCGAAGAGTAGACCGTGGATGTTTGTGCAAAACGTGCACGAAAATTTGATAAATTTCATTTAAAGGTTAAAGTTATAAAATTTTGCAATTGGTATCTTTAGACACCGGGGAATTTAAAATCTACATATACGTTTGTATAAATATCTACTGTTTACTCGTATCAATAAACAATCGAATCATCGTCGATGAAGAGACAGCAATAATGATTATTGAGAAAATAGGCAGCGAACCGACGAGACTGAATCGTTTCTTACGTCCGTTTACTGATCTTCTCGGCTACCTGAAACCGTGATAATTTGTACATAAATCGCGTAAGCAATTACCCGTGTACCTATGGTATCGACGAAACCTCTACAGGTATATATTATATATATACATACACACACACACACATACACATATGATTCTATCGAAGTTGAAGAAGGGAGGAAATATATTGAAATAGAAGGCGCTGAACGCTTTAGCCCAAGTGTACCTACCTTTATTGTATCTGAAGAACTTTACATAGGTTACATTTATGGTACACGTAATATGGTGTGTGAATATCTCCTGTACATAACAAGTGCCCCGTGCATGCTTGTGGCGCACGATATGCTGCGCGCATGCGCGAATATACGTATGTTCTTTTTTAGAATACCTACACAGGTGTACGAAAATATTTCAACAGCAGAGTGTTCATAATTACCTGATATGATTGGTCTTCTTTTTTTAATAGTTTTGGAAAATGGATCATCGTGTGATACACGTGATATTATTTAATATACTTTGATTAGTTTAGAAAATATTTTAAATTAGGTTAAGTACTTCCTGGGATCATCCTGGGGTTTATTGGAGTTCTTGGATTTCCCTTAGATTTTCCTAGGGTTTCCCTTAGATTATCTTAGGATTTCCCTTGGATTTTCTTAGGATTTTCCTTGGATTTCCTAGGGTTTCCTAGATTTTCTTAGGATTTTTCTTGGATTTCGCTTAGGCTTTCCTAAGTTTGCCCTTAGATTTTCCTAGGATTTCCTTTCGATTTTCTTAGGATTTTCCTAGAATCTCCCTGGATTCGTCCTTAGAATTTCCCTAGGATCTCCTTGAGTTCTGCCTTAGAATTTTCTTAGAATCTCCCAGGGATCCTAGGGTTCCCTATAACCAAAATCAGAACAGTCGTTCTAGTTTATTTCTAGATTTCACAATTTCTTCAACTAAGAATCTTTACAGTTATTCTAATGTACCCTAAACCTTTAAATGCCTAATTTAATGAACATACTGCTGTTCGAACGATTTTATGCACCATTGTACGTACCACGTGTTAGTGTTCATCGATCGATGTTGTTTTTCAACGAAGTTTCGAGCGGTTCGACGGTGTGCAATAACAACCGCTAGAACAATGGTAACAATAAAGAAACTCAGAAATGCTGTATGCCGACGAAATAGAAAATCGATCGATTCAATCACGTATTAATCGTTCAAAGGAACATTTTTTTTTTTATTTTTTACTAAGCAATAATACAAACAGTCCACGGTTAAGCGAGTGCACAGCAATAATAATTCTAATTATTTCTAATTAGATTTCTCGCAAGTATTATACAAAGACATTTATCGTTGGCTTACAGTATAAAAAATCAGTTTCTCCGGTAAATTATAAGTTTCGTTGCGTGTTTCTATGGGAAAAATGATCGGGATATTGCTTTTGTACGAAGTTTTATCGTTTCAGTTTTGCTTGGAACCGTTCGAGACGCGCGTTAGTATTCTTCGTTTCTTTTCGATGGTTAGTTAACGAATCCGCGTGAAAAATTGGTGCGTTGGACTCGTGGTGGCTCGCATAAGACTGAGTACGCTTAGAAACAAGAGAAAAAGAATATTGTATCTTCTTGTCGAATAAAAAGTAATCTCTCAAAAAGGTGAATCAGCGATGATTTCTTTTTCTATTGGAAATTTAGCAAACGTGGTAGTTTCGCGCGACAGAAGTACGATGCTTTTTCTTTTTTATTGTTCCACGTACAAATCGCTCGTCCGTTTTGTCCGAGGCACTATCATTTCACGCGGACGAATCTAATAGATACACGTTAGAACAGCTCTGACTTCGTTAATGACGCAACAAGATACAACAAGATATACTTTGTGGCATTTAATTTAAATATACGTTTTATATTTATTTGTAAATTGATTTTGTTCATTCAGTCCGTCACCCACCATCCGCTTCTTCTTCTTCTTCTTCTATGTGCGTCTTTGTTCGATATTATAAAATTGTAAATTAGAGATAGGACATTATTAGATTAGAAATTTTCTGTATACGTTGCTTGTAATTACCTGGTCTGTTTTGATTAATTAATGAACCTTCTTCATTTCATATTACCATTTGATTATTTCCAAAACTATGATAGTTAGAAGGATATTTTTCAAATAAAATACGTATAAAAATTACCTAGATTAAGAAAAAAATTGCTACAGTTTTGGATGATCTACAGTAAGACGCATATGGTGCGTCACCCATTGGTTAACTTAGGACGCACAAGGTGCGTCATTAAATATAGAATGATCCACTTGACTATTTGAGATCATGGCTCTTTTCTAAGTGCAATTAGACAAAAAATAAATGATTTAAAAAGGATTATATTAAAATGCAATGTTTATAAAATCAATAGTGTCATTAAAGCAACTATCATTGCAAATTCCATTGATCGATCAAAACAGACTGGTATCCGTTACATATCATTGATAGGAAGAGAAGAAATTAATTAAATAATCATACAGCTGTTTGTTTCCTCGTATTTTTTCTGTATCATAGTTGAAAAGCTAGAGAAACATCGCGCAAACGGAGTTCGGTGGCGAACCGTGCTTGAACTTGTTACTTGTACCGTGCCACGTGAAAATCGAATTCCAAGCTTGGAATTAAACCAGCTGATTGAAAAGGCTCGAGTAATGCAATCGCGATTCCCTAACCACGGTCAATTCGTCGTGATTGCGCGTAATTCGCGATTCGACGAAAGGGAAGCGAGAAACGCGACGCGTTCCTTCATCGCGTATTCTCGACACGATCGGAACACTGCTTTCCAGACGAAATAAAGACCGGTCAGGGGAGGCCACGATTGTTGTTTCGTCGATGAAACATTGTTCGAGCATACGGCGTGCGTAAACGATCCTCCGCGATTCTGTGAAATAAAGCGTCACGTTGAAATCGAAGGTACAATGATCATTGAAGAGGAAAAGGATTCTCTGGCAGCTTTTATTTTTATCAATTTGCCAAATTTTTTTTACGAATCCTTTAATTATCTACGAACGCGACGCACCAGGTGCGTCTTGGAGGAAACGAAGAATTTTAATTAAAATATTAAATTTAATATTTTAATTAAAATTTTAATAATAATTAATATTTTAATTCAATTTAATTTTAATTAAAATATATTATTTTAGTAGAAAATGATTAATGAAAATTGGAATATTATTATAAAAAATTGTCACCAATTTACAATGGGGTTGCGTTACGTGACGCTTTATTAATTTTGCTTTCTGTAATCATAAGCACTCTAAATTATTTTCAACCCAATTACCCAATGTCAAAGCGTCATTTCCTTACAGAAGAAGAAAGAATCCGCTAGAACGTAAAATTAGAAAGTATATTTAAAATAGTGTGTCGGTCGCCTTTTGAAATCGAACGTAGTACACGTTCCTCGACACCTTGCTCCTCACGAAAAAAACGGGACCGGGATGGAAGAAAAGAAGAAATGAAGTTAAGGTTTAAAGACTAGCTCGTAAGAGTACGTATGTACAACTTGTGTAAATCATTGTGACATCCTCTCTGGTTCGATTCACACCACGCGACTGACTTTGTACAATACTATTCGCATATGCTCGTCGGGTTAGGGACAGAAATCATAACGCAAGACATGTACATTCTCCGCGATATTTAATAACGATATTTTTTTATTCATCCTATTATAGATACACATCTGATATAAGATAGTTCATACAGGTTTGGATGGTGATATACTTGGTGATTTTCATAATAAGGCTTCAGGACTTAAGAATAATATTGATCATCATGTTTGGATCCAATTATGCGAATAAAATCTAAATCCTAAGATAGGAGTCAGAGAAATCTAAAGGAAATCCTAGGAAATTCTAAGAGAAATCCTAGGAAAACCTAATAGAAATCCAAGGGTGATCCTAATAAGGGCTTAACCTAAATTAAAATATTTTCTAAACTAATCAATTTTCGACCCACGTAATTAGGCGTTGTATTCTAAATTTTCAAATCTGTTAATATTTTATTTATCAAAAATTCCTCATAACTCTAAAATTTAATTTTACAAAAATCCTGGAGGCTTCTTTTGAAACACCCCGTATATTACAGTAATATAACATAGCTCATACCATTACATAGGTCTATGCATCTTCTTCGACGTTTAATCGTATGCATCGATTACAGAGTAATAGAACTTTATCGCATCTAATCATCTAACCGATTACACGAGTACTTAGATCGTGTAAATCCAACGGAACGAATGGGAAATGCATCAACAATAACGAAACTGTTGCATACCGGGTGTGCCGTGTGCAAAGATCATGAAAACGCGTCTATACGATCGCTGATCGTGTGTTACTGTATTAAAGTATAACGTTTAACCGGTCGGCGAATGCTGACACGCGTTCGTGATCATATTTCTCTCAGGTATTTAGCATGTTTGTATCCAACGACACCTTTCTGTAATAAATCATTCGGACAGTGGACGTAATACCGGATGTGCCGCGCAGCGGCTCTGTTTCCGTGTTTTCTCTTAGCGGCTTCCACTCGACGCTTCGATCGCATGCTCGAGAAACTTGTAGATTTTTCAAATAGCTTACAAGAATTTTTGCATCGAGCCGCTTTGAATCGTAAGGGCTTCGACTGGCGGGAGGAAGTTTATGGGGTTGACGATTTATAAATAGACGATTCTATTTTAGAAATTATCCGCTATTCCTCTTGCTATTCCTGTTATTCAAATTTTAACGCTTTCACGATATTTCGAGAAGGTTGCTGGAAAATATTCAATTGAAACTTTCAGATTTTAACAGAAACATTCGAAAATTCCATAGATTTCCGCTCGTCGGTCAGCGTGGAAATTGAAATTTGATAAAAACGAGGAAATTCGTAGATTAAGGAAAACTCTTCGCTCCTAAGGAACGACTTTTACCTAAGAATTTTCATACTCTTAACATTTTTCTGATTCTCTTCGATCTATATGGAAATCTTCTGAAAACCAACGAAAACGAATCCCTCGCTCCAAAGGAGCGATTTAATTTTCTCCGAAATTCTACCAACTCCTATCTGATTTCCCTTTCGTCTCGTCACGAGTTTCGTGAATGATAATTACAGTTCTCAGCGTTAAGAGAACCTCCGATGTTAGTATATTTGATAACACATTCTTAAAAAAAAAATATGATGAGATTCGTTCGCAATCAACGATCTCAGTTTCATTCGAAGGCGAAACCAAGCAGTATTAAGAGCGTTCTTCTTGATCCAGCAAGAAAGCGGGCTTTGCGACGATTTTCGGCGCTTGTAACGAGCAACCGGTGTTGTTTAATTATTTTGAGAAATGTGATATGAAATTGAGGGGATGGATGTTTATGGAAAATTAAAGAGGATGAGAAAGAAAGGAATGCAGACGAGTGAAGAGATCGAGACAGTATTGTTACACCGTTGATCGTTATATGTGCATAAATGCTTCGGAAATAAATGAATCCAAATCACACGTCGACATCATTTTCTCGTAATTTGTTTATTAAACGCGGTAGAAATATTTATAATTTTTTGAAAATTAATGAATTTGAAATTTGTCATAACGATAGAAATATTTTAAATTTAGAAATTAATTAATTTTTGTAATTTGATCGAATCAGAGTTTCCCAGGAAAAATGGTAATGGCCCTGGGTTCTCTGATTTGATCGAAATCGTACGAGTAGAAGTTTATTGATTTTATTAATCGATTTGTAAAATTGATTTATCGATAAACGAAGCAGGCAATTCTTGTTTCGACACGGTTTTCCAGATTACTTTTGAACAGATGATATCTCGTAGCTTCGAACATGTTCGCGAGAAACGAGCAAGTTTCACGCGTAACGTGAAAGGACGCTTGGGTGACTTGGGGGACACAGAACTGGTCCACCCACTGGTAATACCATATTTTTTTTTTTTTTTGTAACGCTGTATCGAGTAAGGAGGAGCACGGGATCGATTCGCATCTCGATCGAGAACGATCCTTATCGAGAATTGCCATCTACAACATTACAAAATTTATTATTTTAATTGAACAAAATTTGTTGCAAATGTAAGTATCGTGTTAAGAAATCAATTTTTTTTTTTTTTTTGTACTAACATACAATTTTTTTCTGTTTCAGGTTCGACGAAAGAGCGCAGTTGCCGAGATCCAAATAAAGATTTCACGTCTTTTATTCGAATCGCAAAGAATAGACGAAGAGGATGCTTTAAATAGCTGTCCAAGAAGATTCTTCAGGTAATTCCACTGTACCCTGTTTTCTTCTTTGTTGTTCTCTTGCTTACGTCATACTCCTGGTCTTTGTGTTTCCATTCCGAGCTCGTGTTTCGGGAGGGATTATTTTCTCGATTTGCGGTGGAAACAGCGGAATCGTCTCGTAAACAGCGCACGTACAACGATAAATTCGTTGGTATTTAAATACTATTACAATAACGTTAAGGGGAACAATGTCGAACGATCCAAACGATATTTAAACATTTTTCAAACAGGTGTATTTCAGGTTTACGCTTTCAACGCTGAAACTGATTTCTATCTGATCTCAACGAGAAACGTTTCCAGCCGTTAGTCATTCTAGGATCTTCTTAGGACGGTGATTATTATCTAGCATCGTTTATTTTCGTTAGAGTGTCTAATAACAGGTTCATAGAGCCCACGCTTTGCCATAAGAACGAACAGGATGTGTCGTAACATATGTACACCACTTAATGGCGTGAGACAGAAAAAGCTCGTGTAAACATATGCCTTATTAGATGCTGTATTTAATGATAATCTTTAATAGAAAGCCCGAGTATCGTGCGTCGCCGACTCTCCAGACCAACCCTTGGAAGGTATAAAAATATTGAACAACGTCAAATCATTTTTAAATTTTAGTTTTCATGGTTACAGTCTTCGTCATTTGCGATGAAAAGCCTTATTAATGATAATCTTTAATAGAGAGTCCGAGTACCGTGCGTCGCCGACTCTCCGGACCAACCCTTGGAAGGTATAAAAATATTGAACAACGTCAAATCATTTTCAAATTTTAGTTTTCATGGTTACAGTCTTCGTCATTTGCGATGAAAAGCCTTATTAATGATAATCTTTAATAGAGAGTCCGAGTACCGTGCGTCGCCGACTCTCCAGACCAACCCTTGGAAGGTATAAAAATATTGAACAACGTCAAATCATTTTCAAATTTTAGTTTTCATGGTTACAGTCTTCGTCATTTGCGATGAAAAGCATTATTAATGATAATCTTTAATAGAAAGCCCGAGTATCGTGCGTTGCCGACTCTCCAGACCAACCCTTGGAAGGTATAAAAATATTGAACAACGTCAAATCATTTTCAAATTTTAGTTTTCATGGTTACAGTCTTCGTCATTTGCGATGAAAAGCATTATTAATGATAATCTTTAATAGAGAGCCCGAGTACCGTGCGTCGCCGAATATCCGGACCAACCCTTGGAAGGTATAAAAATATTGAACAACGTCAAATCATTTTCAAATTTTAGTTTTCATGATTACAGTCTTCGTCATTTGCGATGAAAAGCATTATTAATGATAATCTTTAATAGAGAGCCCGAGTACCGTGCGTCGCCGAATATCCGGACCAACCCTTGGAAGGTATAAAAATATTGAACAACGTCAAATCATTTTCAAATTTTAGTTTTCATGGTTACAGTCTTCGTCATTTGCGATGAAAAGCATTATTAATGATAATCTTTAATAGAGAGTCCGAGTACCGTGCGTCGCCGAATATCTGGACCAACCCTTGGAAGGTATAAAAATATCGAACAACGTCAAATCATTTTCAAATTTTAGTTTTCATGGTTACAGTCTTCGTCATTTGCGATGAAAAGCATTATTAATGATAATCTTTAATAGAGAGTCCGAGTACCGTGCGTCGCCGACTCTCCGGACCAACCCTTGGAAGGTATAAAAATATTGAACAACGTCAAATCATTTTCAAATTTTAGTTTTCATGGTTACAGTCTTCGTCATTTGCGATGAAAAGCCTTATTAATGATAATCTTTAATAGAGAGTCCGAGTACCGTGCGTCGCCGACTCTCCGGACCAACCCTTGGAAGGTATAAAAATATCGAACAACGTCAAATCATTTTCAAATTTTAGTTTTCATGGTTACAGTCTTCGTCATTTGCGATGAAAAGCATTATTAATGATAATCTTTAATAGAGAGTCCGAGTACCGTGCGTCGCCGAATATCTGGACCAACCCTTGGAAGGTATAAAAATATCGAACAACGTCAAATCATTTTCAAATTTTAGTTTTCATGGTTACAGTCTTCGTCATTTGCGATGAAAAGCATTATTAATGATAATCTTTAATAGAGAGTCCGAGTACCGTGCGTCGCCGAATATCTGGACCAACCCTTGGAAGGTATAAAAATATTATACAACGTCAAATCATTTTCAAATTTTAGTTTTCATGGTTACAGTCTTCGTCATTTGCGATGAAAAGCCTTATTAATGATAATCTTTAATAGAATCAGAGTACCGTGCGTCGCCGACTCTCCGGACCAACCCTTGGATGGTATAAAAATATTGAACAACGTCAGATCTGTTTAGAAATCATTTTCAAATTTTATTTTTCATGGTTACAGTCTTCGTCATTTGCAACGAAAGGGTTAACGAAGCATAAAGGAAGCTCGGATCACGGAGAGCACCCGTTAGGAGGTAAAATTAGAGGTGCGGTTTCGGTACAATTATTAAAATAGAAGAGTGACCGGTGTACACGGGTTCAAGTGGAGGGTGTCTGACTCATCCGACAAAACGTATCGTAGAAGCGGTGGACGAGGTGGAAACTGCGAAATCTATTTGTTGACCAGATCTCTGCGAGTGCACCAGCTGGACCCAATCGAGAGATTTCTCGCGATGCTCGGGTCATTGCCATCCCTGTTGGCCATCGCTTTATTACCGGCTGGCTGTTGACTTTGGCCCTGGACGATGCTGGAACAAATCATCGTAAAGACGGCGACGCACGGTTATCAGTTTCCATCTGATTCCGAACGCAACCGCGTAAAACGTGACTTGGATCCGCGAACGTTGCCACCATTGAAGCTCTCTTCAAGGCTGTCACCTTCTTCTGGTAAGATACGTATTACCTAATGGAGGTGAAACTGGTTAAATGATTACTCAATGGATTTATTGCTAAATGGATCATTTAAAATTATAAAAAAATGTTCAAATGAAATAGGATGGTTTAAAATTTTCTTTAAAAAGAAAAATATTCCTGTAAGAAACACGATCCTCCCAGGGAATAGCAGTCATTTTAACCCCAGTTTGCCATAAAAGGTTTAAGTTACTTAAGCATAATGTTACAAGACATCCTCTTCTTTGAAACAAAGAATAATTCTCTCCTAAAGTAAAACGTTTCCGGTATTCCTGTCTGTTTCTAGAGCAAATCTTCGAAGTTTATCAGTGGGTTCTTTCTACCTGAAGAAAAGGTACGAACCTTTTCAGGCTGATCCAACCATGGGCCAGGTGGTAGGATTTGAAACGCTGCTATTCAGAAGATTTGCGAAGGGAATAGCCGGTTTCTTCTCCGACGTTTGTTACTTTCCCGTTACACATTCTTCCTGCTTACGGCGGGCTTACAAAGGAATCGGTTAAATCGGTCGTAGAAGTAGGCGAAGGTAAAATTCTCACTTTCTTCGAGTCACTGTTACTCGAGTTCGCTTCCTTTCGTTTCCTAACACAGATCGCGAGGTATAATAATCGTAAAACGATCGGCGTGAAAGCATGCCAGTATAATCTCATATCGCGTTTACCTACGGTTACGTAAGGCCAGATGAAAACTCGTTACCTGTGCTAATTGAATTGACGATTGTGCAACTTCCTTTCCTGAAAAAAGTAGTTCTTTTCTAAAGTAACATGTTTACAAAATATTTCATAGAACTACGATTAATCCTTTTTAATTTAAGGATGCCTTATAATTATAAATGAAAATTAATTACCAAAATCATAGACTGATGCGGAACTCTTCAGTGCAAAATTACAAATAATAAAAAATATATTTCTATTTCAGAAAATCCAGGAAGGGTTAATTTAAAATATTTTATTTTTAACATAAAAATGAAAAATCCTTGAATCTATAGTAACATATTTACAAAATATTTCATAGAGTCAAGATTAACCCTTTTTAATTTAAGGATGCCATATAATTACGAATTAAAATTAATTACCAAAGTCATAGATTGGCGCAGAATAATTAATGTCACCCTTCTATTAAAATATATTTCTAGTTCAGAAAATCCAGGAAGGGTTAATTAAAAATATTTTATTTTTAACATAAAAATGGAAAATCCTTGAATCTATAGTAACATATTTACAAAATATTTCACCACGATTAACCCTTTTTAATTTAAGGATGCCTTATAATTACGAATTAAAATTAATTACCAAAGTCATAGATTGGCGCAGAATAATTAATGTCACCCTTCTATTAAAATATATTTCTAGTTCAGAAAATCCAGG